AGCTTAGATTCTATATACTGAAATCCCCCTAACGTGGACTTACGTGGGCTGGACTTTTAATAGACGCTACGCCTTGGATACCCCGTGCGAAATGCCTATATCGAATGGGCGATGCCATCATCGCTGAAACTTATTGCGGTGACAAAAAGATATTGCGGCCATGTTTCCTCGATGCGCCTAGTAAGCTTCCGGAAGGCTACATCACTCAGTGCTTGTTGGATGCCGGCTGTGGTACAGGTCACGCCAGCATGGAGGACCTGTGGATCACCGTTGCTTGTCTTCGGACATTCGGCAACGATTGGATTCATCTCGAACATCCCGATGATAATGACCTGGAGTCACAACTGGGCGATGGTGATCTGAAGCTCAAGCGGGAAGAAATCCTTGCTGGTGAGTATTTAGCTCCATCGCAGCCTAGGTAGGCTACAAGGTCAGAGACGAAGCTGACCCACCAGTAAGAAAATAGTTGAGATATGAGCTACCATGAGTCAGCATGTATACAGGTGTGATTTGCTGCTCCTTTCACTTCGGGTGTTGACAATATCACACCAAAACTATGGAGGCACGCGGGACGTTGTTATGTATCATGCTAGGCCATGAGCCAATGACTCTCCTTCTTAGGGTGCTTGTAACTTCCATGCAAAATGCTATATATATATCATCTGGAAACAAACCTCAAATTCTCGTCGGATACCCTAAATGACACGATCACCAACTTCCGAGGTTTCGATAACCGTCTCATCAGCCGTGACCATCTGGCGACCCTCAAATCGAACCTTTAGAGCCTTGGAAGCGTTTTGGAGTTCATCCAAAGGCCGGAGTCCACCGCCTGCTCTAACACGAGAGTCTTCGTCTAGGGCGACTAGCATGGCCAAAGACGAGTTCTTGGCTTCGCGGAATGCATTGCGTTCTTCTCTGCTTGATGCCTGGCCACCATTCAGTTTGATTTGGCTGACGATTGTAAGGGCAAGAAATAGCAGAGCAATCATGATCTCGACTGCAAGCAAAGATATCCACCCCCAGGTGATGTGTACGTATGAGACCTGCGTCAATGCTTTGCCAGAAATGTTGAAAGAGTTGAAGGCGTAACTCTGCGGTTGATTGACTCGCATGCTGGTAGCAAAGTTCAGAGAAGCCCAAGATTTTAGAGCAGTGCAACAAGGGGCTAATGAGTAGACTTACATTGTTGATACACTAGTTGCAACATTTTTGTGTATATTGTTCAAGGCGATTTGTCGTAGAGTAGAGTTGGCGATATTTTTCAGGTCATACACGACACTTTGAAAAAGAGTCTTGAGGAACTCTTGTCCACGGAAGAAAACAGCTGTATCCTGATACTCTTCGGTGACGTAGCTAGCACTCGCATAGCCCACAATATCGGTCTTTAGAATGGTAGATATCTTCTCTAGAGAGAAGTAGCTTGCACTGTAATATTCCTCCTCGAGAGTCGAGTCAACGTCAAGCTTTGTCAAGAACCTCGGATCCTTGAGATGCAATGTTTCGTGCCAATGGTCGATGCTCTGGTTGCATGTACGTGAGGCTTCTCCAAGGAGTGGCCGGCACCGCATGTCCAGAAAGAAGGGTTTCTCTTGTTCAACAGGTACAGCAGACGTCTCGACAAGAGTGGTTCTTTCGATACCCATAGAAACCTCTGTCTCGAACGTCTGAACGCATAGATGATACATGACCTCCATTGCTTCATGTCGAAAATTGTAAATTGCGCCGATGAGGTCGGATGCAAACGGCGCTCCGGCGGCTTCAGAAAGCCCGTTATACCACGTCTCATTCAGCTCTGTCGGGTTGGTGTAGATGACGGTAAAAGACGATATCCTAGTTTGCTTGAGATCTTCATCGTCTTGGAAAGCAAAGGTCTCACTCCCATTAAGCATGTCAGTCATGGCCGCCAATGGTGTTTGATGAGCCATTTCCAGGCCGCTAGGGAGAGATGCTCGCCACACCTTTGCATCGGGCTTTGGGAAACCCAAGACAAGGGTGTCGATCATGTCTGGGGAATCGAACTCCTCCACTTTCAAGTGGTCGGTGATGTTCGCCGTCTTCATGCAAATGCCCAGAGACTGATACCGATCAAAGGTGCAATTACCTGTAGAGCAGAACGCGCCTGTGGGTGCAATAGGCTCCATGAAATTGGTGCTGTCAGACAAAGTGGCTAGTACTAAAGCTCGACGTGCCCCTAAGTTCATGCGGTCTTCGTCTGATGTCATGTTGCGTACAGCCGCAGCCTTGGCTTCCTCGCGCAGGGCCACAGAGTCTCGTACAGGATACTTGATGGCGAGTTGCGTTACCGGTGAAGTTAGGGCGCTGACAACCATCAAAAAGGCACCGAGAGAAACGAAGTGTTTGTATCGGATACGTTTCAATAGCATTACGGAGCCCCACGGCCCTCTGCTCGCTTGATCGAACAATTGCAAGTCATGAAGAGGTCGGTCTTTGAGGAACCATGACCATTGCGTCTGACTTATTGCGACAGATACAGGCAGCATGAAGGCTGCTTTTGCCAACGTAGTAAAGAAAGCGAGGAAGGTGTTGAGCGTGATATGCAGCGGCCAGTCTGGCAAAGGCTGTTGGTCATAGCTGCAGAGGACCGCAACGATCACTAGAGTCAAAATCATTAGTATGAAATCTTCGACGGTATTCTTATAGAGCCAGACGCTGGAAAACGTACAAAAGAAGGAGGATATGCTGAGAAATATGTAGAACACCTCCCAGGCCCATATACGCCAAAGCGGCTTGGCCGTAAATGGTTCACACTCTGATTTACTAGGCGGCTCGTCACTCGAATAGCCCCGCTTCAGACTTTGATAACCTTGACTATCGATGGTGTCGAAAGTAGATGTAGCTACTGGCTTTCTGTTGATTGATATGTTCACAGCAGGCGTGCCAGACTTTGACCTCGCTGTGGAAGGCTGATTGTCTGGAAGGCCTGTAATCAGGGGATTCCCCTCAATATTGTTAAGCGAGCGTCTGGGTTGGAAATGTTCTCTTCTAGCTATTGCCGGGCGCATTGCGCTACCAGAGCCATCGCTCGACAAGGGGGCTCCTGTCGATTTGTGAGCAGTAACTCAGTCTGGTCAACTTTCATTGAGCGCGTACCATGCCCTTGGTCAAGATCAGTTGATCTCTGTCTATCTCTCGAGATGAATTGTGGGAAAGCTTCTGCGGACACTGGTCTTGAGAGTCGTCCGCGAGGTGCCTCTCCGGGGCCAGAGTCTAGCCCACTTTCTGAGAAATGGCTGTATCTTTGGCCAAACATGATGAATTTGGGCGCGGGGTATTTGGGGCAAAGTTTCAAGTCACAATGCTCAAGATCCTTCCGGGGCAACTATTCAATTCTTTTATGACAGCGAGTCCTTGTTGAAAATCCATGACCGGGTGTTGGACTGTTGTGGAAAGACTCAATGAAGCACTGCAAACGGGTCCTCCCGCGGTCGCCAAGTACAACCTGCAGTACACCAGCCCCCAAACCACAAACACATCTGCGGTACAGTGCCATTTGGGCTTGACTCCCACCAATCAAGTCGATCAACTATTGCTCCACCTAAAAATTCAAGGTTGAATTGCATACGAGCAACCGCAAACTGGAAGGCGACGAATGCAGGCTGCCACGGCACGAACAAAAATAACTACGTTTGCATCGAGGGTAGGTGCCGGGATGAGAGAAAGCTGTCAGTGGTTGGTTATAGCCAAGCACTCAATTCGGACAGAGCTTCGACTTCTAGCCGAGTGATGCAGTTGGACCTCATCTTACCTGCCCGAATCGGCTGGGGGGAGGGAGCTGAAGTCAGACAAACGAATTACGTGCGGGAAGAGCTGATGATACCTTGATCCATGATGACTGATGAATCAATTGTGGGGGAGAAGAAATAGGCATTCAGTATTCCTTAGAGAATGCCCAGCTTACATTTCCTCTGTAGCGGTTCTTCACTTAGTAAGGTATGATACCGAGTCAGTTACTATTATAACCATCGGGATTCAGTTAACGCAAGCTAAGACAAGAGACAACTTCACAACAACTCACATACTCGCAAAATGCCAAGTCTCTATGCCGTTTTCCCTTTGGCTTCCATCTATGGGCCGGCTATCAGACGGATAGATTGCCAATCAGCACTACTGCAATGCCAATGTCACAGCCCCACGTGATACCACCCTTTTCTGCAGATGATATGCAGGCATCGAGCCACGGAGCCCGCGAGCGGGGTAGTGACTCTAAAAATTGTCGATGTTCAGCAGTCATTTTCTGAAATCAGGCCCCCGATAACCAACTTGCGTTGATTTTCGGAGTGTTGTCTTTCAGCCCACACTAAGTCGGCCTATCCATACCTGCACTGAGTTCCAGGTTAGCAATTTTACCTCCTGGATAGGCATCTTGGAACTGCTGAACCATGTCATCGCTGAGGCAGCGGCTTCTGCCTGGATGGATCTACAAGACGGAAGAATGCCCGATATGCCTGTCCTTCTTCTCCACTGACATGCCACCCGGCCCGGACCCCCGAACCGGACTGGACCCCAAGTCCAAGCCCGATCGCCGCTTACTGCAACCAGAGTACGAAAACCGTTGTCACGGCTGCTGGGTAGCCCGCTTCACAATCTCATTCTTCAGTCATATCCTTGACGATGTAGACTCGGACAACATGCGAGATGCCCTATTCTACATCGACGCAGACGTTGACAGCACGAACATTGTTCTTACCGCGAGAAAAGGAGGGCCAAGGGGCGGTTATATATTATCAAAATTACAACTGCTTAAAGCAACGCTACCACCGGCCCAAGGTTATATGCAGTCCTGTCTGCGATATTTGATCTCAGTCCTTGATCCTAATGCTTATAACCCGTTGCCGGTGTATATAGCCCATGCCTACGAGTCTCTGCCCATCGTAGGCCACACGGGGTCTCCAGATGCTTTCAAAAAGATCTTTACGTGGTTCGAGGAATGTGCCGCGCAGCACCCGGACTGTGGCAGTGGACTCAGCATACACCCGATGCCAACTCGGCTGATTGATATTTCAGACAAAGACAATATGCGATTAGTTGAACGTGTCACCACAAGAAGCCACTACATCGCACTTAGCCACCGATGGATAGAAGCTTCCAAGATGCCGCGATGTGTGAGCAGCAACATCGAATCGCTGGAGAAGAATATTCCTTGGTCTGCTCTTACTCGGAACTTCCAAGACGCCATCATATTCATCCAAGACTTTGCCTCATGGTATGCGAAAGACCACCCAGACGAGGAGCCCATCCAATACGTCTGGATCGACAGCCTATGCATCATCCAGGATAGCATTGCAGACTGGGACGCAGAGTCAAAGTTGATGTGTTCTGTCTATGAGGGTGCACTCCTTACTGTCGCAGCAGCCGCTGGGCCTGATGGCTGCTTTGCTGAAGCTGAACGCGTATACAAGGGATTTGACGTTACCAACCCTCAACGCCAAAATCCGAGACTGATGTTGCGAAAAGAACTACCGGATCATGAGAACGAGTACGAGATGGCCGGGAGGGAACATGTTATGCACCAGAAGAGTCTTCGTACGCCTAGCAGATTGGATTTGATGACGAGGGGATGGGTGATGCAAGAAAGACTACTTTCCCGCAGGTTCGTCATCTTCGCCCCAAACGAAGTCATGTGGGAGTGCTACGAAAGCTCTCAATGCGAATGCGGTAGACTCTCTGGCATGACAGGCCGGTTAAACCTTGTAGGAGAGGAAGGCAACATGAGTCAGGTCAACCAAAGATCCTACCGGTTCCACGACTCCAAGCGGGCAGAGGACCCGAACTATGCACTCTTGCCGATGCCGCTTAAGATGGCATACTATACCTCATTAGACGACAAGGGTGAGCATGCGGCACGAAACCTCCGCAATTGGTGGCGTCGGCTGGTAGAGAGATACACAACCCTGGACCTGACTCAAGAGTCAGACAGGCTGCCCGCGATAATGGGTCTCGCAATCCAATATGGCCGCCGGACAGGGCAAGAAATGCAGGATTACATTGCCGGGATCTGGAGAAATTCTCTTCCCTTGGACTTGCTATGGCATACAGAGAATCCTTCCAGCGAACCTGACTCCCAAAACTTGAAGGCCAAGGAAACGCCGTCGTGGTCCTGGGCAAGCTGCCGAAGTCAAGTCAGAATGCCTCGAGAGGGGAGTATGAAGAAACCGATATACTACGCTAAACTGACTTCTGTCAACGATGGCATCACCGTCGGTTTGAGATGCCCTATTTTCACTGGCTTGAGTGAAAGAGCAAGAGACCAAACGTTCCCGATTACTGTGTTGCACGACTTTCCCAACAGAGCGGCAAGTCTTGCTACTTCGATCTGGGAAGCCGAGGCAGTGTTTGCCCTAGTCCTCAGAGTGGGTAAAGGTGAGGAGACTACGTGGATGTATCTTCACATCAGGCCCATCGAGTCTGCCCAAGGTGGCGTAGTCAAATACAGCCGGGTCGGGCTTCTTGAATTAGGGAGGCGCAGGTATTTGCGAAGTAAGATCACTTGCGCAGACGAATTGGTAGAATCCTGTTTCAAATCGGGAAGAATCGAAGATTTAGAATTGGTGTAGGTATAGGTATTTCGAGCAATATGCAATGAGGTCATGAGTAAAATGAGATGGCTCTTTTCAGCAACATCATTTCGAGTCTTTTGACCTCGAGAATTCAAACGTCCGCTCAAACCTCAAACGACACCACTATCGACAAGTCAGTCTTACCACTCGACGGTCTCATATTGACTTAGAGGGGGGCTGCGTAACGTACCTCACCACAGCTGATCGGCTCATACTTCGGCGGGTTCTTCTCATCTGTACAGGTAGGGAGCACAGAACACTGCTCGTTGTGATTAAAGCCAAAGAAAAAGGGCATTGAATACCGGTCCTCAGGAGCGTAGTTAAAGACTCGGTGAACCGTTGACTTGAATCGGTCATTGGATAACCGCTGCAAAAAGTCGCCAATGTTGATGACAAAAGTGTCGGGAACGGGCGGCACTTTGATCCACTGCCCGTCTTTCGTGAGCACCTGCAACCCGCCGACGCTGTCTTGCCAGAGGAGAGTGAAGCACTGCAGGTCGGTATGAGCGCCTAGGCCGACGTCGATAGTGGCGTCTTGCGCTTCTGTGTTCTTTGGGTAGTAGTTGCAGACGCTATCGCTGTAAGGTTGTCAGTCTAAGCTCATGATCTCGTCAAAAGCGTCGTCACCAACCTTCCAGGATATGTGACAACATCGTCAAAATAGTTCTCAGGAACATCCAACGCCAATGCAAAAGCCCGGATCAAGCTCCTGGCAAGCGTCAAACAGCCCTGCCAGTACGTGATCATATCATCTTTGAACCCGGGCAAATGACTCGTTCCCTCCCACACAAAGTCCTCATGTTTCATCCACGGCTTCACGTCTTCCGGCACGGCGTCCGGGTCCTTGGTCTCGGGATCATACCGCGGATCATACCGAAAACTGAACCCCTCACGATGATCCTTAGTCTCTGTCGGCGAGATCTGCGCAGCGCGCTTTTCAGTCCACCCATTGAAGAACTTGCTCTTCTTCTGCGTCGCCAACGCCTTCTTATCATTTGGCTGCGAGAAAAAGGCCTGCGCCTGCGAGAAGGCCGCGTCAATAGTGGCCTTGGGGATGCCGTGGTTCTTGATGTAGAAGAAGCCCGTATTCTCGGCCGCGTCGCGGATGGTGGCGGCGAGGGCTTTGCGCTCGGCCTCGGTGCCTCGGATGGTGGAGAGGTCGATGATGGGGACCTCCGAGGCGTTGCAGTCTCGAGGCGGGGTCTTCAAGACATCGCGGTAGACGGGGCCGTAAGCGGACATGAGTTCGAGCTTGTAGCTCTCTGGAGCGGTGGTCGTTACCGTGGTAGTCATGGTCTCGGGTTATGAGAGTGAGATCGGCCCAGTTGTCAAGCTGATCTATTTCGTCCTTATTTTGTATCGGGCGAGGTCGTGATCTTCGAGCTCTAAGTCAAGGCAATGGATCCCTTTTTGAGTTGTGCGAGTTGCCTCTTTTTTGAAATTAACACTTACGATAAGTATCACTGCATACGAATGAGAAGTTCCAACTCCGACTTAAGCCTCCGGACGAACGAAATGCTCAGATGGAGTGGTTCAGGCCTTGCCGGGTAAGTGAAATCTCGTCCGCCGGTCTTAGGCGGAAACCGTCTGCGATTTGAACAAGGACGAATGACACGACAGCCAAAGATAATGGCGTGCGACGCGGTTCGCTGGAGACAATCTGCAAATCCGCTCAGCACGGCCGCTTATCGCTCTCGGGGCAAATGCGCCGACAACGGACCGTGTGGGGTACGGGGTTGATCCCCGTCTTCGGAGCCACCAGGGGTCCTTTGTTTTCCGGGGACATCTCTTTTCTCCGGTTGACCCTTATACGTACAGGACTTATAGACGCCGATCTACCAAGATACTTGGCATCAACTGAGAGGTCTTAGTGAAGCTTGAGTTCACTTCACTATCATCATGTTTCAACAGCAGAATAGCTGCGACCGGTACTATGTTTACCTCTTAGCAAACCAGCGATGCTCTGTACAGCAATGCACAACTCTTTCCTGTGGAAGATTGCACAATGTGTCGGCCATTGAGACTCGTCAGCATCCCTGCAGTGCTTATCTCCCCCACATGAACCGCACGACGCCGGTATCTCGAGGAGTATCATGGGCTATCAGCATGCAGCAGCCGATTGCGACTCCGTAGCCGATACGATTACCACTCTGTCGGGTATGATTTGGTATAAGTCCCTGTCATGGTAAATTTGAGCTCCTCCGGGCGCCTCCTGTTTGCTGTTCAAGTAACTTGTACGGGTGGGCGGGCATTGCTTCTTCAACGATCATCACAGCTGAAGTCTCTAGAGACGAGCATCAAAACTCGAGAGTCTCTGACCGCAAGCTTACCTCCTGGACCGAGCCTGCCGACGCCGGCAAGCTGCACACACAAGATGGGCCTCCTCAACCGCCTCCGCGTCCCCGCCGCCGCCGGCACCTCGGACATCCACGGCCGCGATGCCCTCCTCAACAACGACGACCTCCGCCCCCTCAAGCTCGCCGACCGCACCTGGACCCAATGGACCTACTTCACCTTCTGGTTCTCCGCCACCGCGACCGTGTCCAACTGGTATGCCTCCTCCACTGCCCAGGCCCTCGGCCTCTCCATGTGGGAGTCCCTCGCCTGCGCTTTCGGTGGGCAGTGCCTCATCGCCGCCGTCATCACGCTCAACGGCCGGCCGGGCAGCTGCTACCACGTCGGATACCCCGTCGTCTGCCGCGCTGCTTTCGGTATTTACGGTGCGTGGTGGCCGACCTTCAACCGCGCCGTCATGGCTATCGTCTGGAACGGCGTGAATGCCGTGCAGGGAGGACAGTGCATCTACGTGATGCTCCACGCCATCATTCCGGGTATTGCAAACATTCCCAATACCATGGGCGAGGGTTCAGCTCTCACGACGGCGGGCATGATTGGCTTCGTCATCTTCTGGCTCATCACCTGCGCGTTCCTCGTTATCCCGGTCCCCAAGATGCGCGGACTCGTCTACGCGAAGCTGTGCGTCTTCGTCGTCTCCGCCGTAGCCATGCTTGCGTGGACGGCGACAAAGGCAGGTGGCCTTGGTCCTGTTGTCCGCCAGGGTGGCACGGCGACGGGGTCGAAGAGGGCGTGGCTTATTATCCAGTTCTTGATGCTCGGCGCGGCCAACTGCGCAACCTTTGCAAGTAATGCTGCTGATTTCCAGCGGTATGCAAAGAAGAAGAATGATGTTGTTGTCGGTAACCTCTTCTGTTTCCCCGTTGCCAACTTCATCGTGGCAGCGGTTGGAAATCTGGTCTGCGCCTCTAGCGAATTGATCTTTGGCGAGTTGATCTGGAATCCCGTGACGCTGCTGGATAACCTCCAGACGGCCGAATACACGGCGGCCAACCGAGCCGGTTGCTTCTTCATCGCCGGCTGCTTCGCATACTGCTGCATCTTCAGCTCCATCTTTGAGAACTCTTTGCCGGCCGGTAACGATATTGCGGCGTTGTTTCCCAAGTATCTCACAGTTCGAAGAGGCTTCTTTGTCTGTGCCGTCATTTCGTTTGCCATCAACCCATGGTTTCTCCTAGTAAGTATTGTTAAGCCTCCGAGGAGACCAGGGACATAGCTAACAAGCACCAGGGTTCTGCCTCCGTTTTCGTCTCCTTCCTCTCATCCTACCAAATCTTCCTCTCCGCCATCACGGGCGTCTTGCTGGTAAACTACTACATCATCGGCCGCGGCCGCATCAGCATCCCAGATTGCTTCACGTCAATGAAGTCAGGGGCCTACCATTACTCCTACGGCTGGAACATCCGTGCCTACGCCGCCTACATCGTTGGCATCATCCCCAACTTCTACGGCTTCCTTAACAACATGGGTGTTTCAGCCCCCATCGGCGTCACGAGGTTCTACTTCTTTGCGTATTGGGTCGGACTGTTCCTGTCCGGCTTCACCTTTTGGGTTTCCTGCAAGATTTGGCCGCCTCCGATCATGGAAGAGGGATGGGTTGAGCCGAAGGACTATGTCAGGCCCGAAGAGCTGGAAGGCGATGGGCAGGTCATCGAGGCTGTTGAAATGCCTCAAAGCGGCGAGGTGGTGTACCATGAGAAAGGCCTTGGTAGAAAAGGTGGCTAAGGTGTAATGTGACGAACCACAGAACCGCCAAGAAGAGAACACGGAAATGAAATAGATCCGTCCTGAGAATGCTAGTACGAAAAGGTCGTCAAGGTCTCGAAAAGTATTGTAATACGTTCAATGATGGGAGGCTACCTGCTAAAGCTCAGTAAGAAGACTCTAAGCAAGTGGCTTGCGATGCGTAAGGCCTCAACCGTGTCGTCATGTAAAGACTGGGCACGGTATACGGGCCTCTCTGACTCCTAACGCCTCCTAATACACGCTCACACCCTAAGAAGTATTCGCTCTAAAAGGACGAAACAGTGGTGACATGCACCACCGCGTCGATATATAGCCGGTTCAAAACAGTACATCCTGTACCGGGCTTCATCTTGAACATTCCGTTCGGGCCCATAGAAAATGGTTCCGTATTCTCAAGTTTCACCTTAAGTTTACCCGCGGCCAAGGAGCAGATTCGAACTTTCTCTGATTCGGCAGCCCATTCATGTGACTCTCCGGGCTTGATGACGATGACGTTGAAGGATATCTCCTCAGAGACAGTCACAGCTTGGTTGCTCGTGAGATAGGAGTTGGAAAAGGCTACATCTAGTACATGGTTAGCATCGTAGTATAGCATCGGATAGGCGTTAGAAGACATACTTGTGGGGGATTCGCTGCGTTCATCACGAATCCGCCCTGGGGCAACCTCCCAGTCTTCCATTTCCAGAGTGTTTGGTGGCATGATATTGCCGCTGAGCGAAGAGGCATGTCCGGCGGGCGTAGATGCTGCAGAATCAACAGGAAGCTTTGCGTTGGCCGCCGAGTACCTTGTGGTCCGTCTCGGTGGGCTAAGGGGTGGGTGGCTATTGACTTTGTGAGTGCTCGGCGCCGGCTGTGTTGACGGCGGCAGAGAAGCGGCAGACACCGGGGTTGAGGTTTTGGGAGGTGGTTGAGATGCTGGAGGATATGGCAAGGCATATGCATCAGCTGCGGTTGTCGCAGATGCGGAGCGAGTTGCAACCGCAGATCGTGTAGGGGGTGCTATCGGGGTCACTTGTGGGCTTGGCACTCCTTGGCCTGAGGACAAGAAGGAGCAATTATTTCTTTCTCTGCGGAAGTTAGACCGCCACTGGCATCCCGAGCAGGCCTTATTTCCAATCTCCTTCAAGAATCCAGGAGCTGTGGCGGACATGACGACACAGGGCTGGAGAAAGTTCTCGAAGGGATCGTTGTGCTTGTAGCACACGTGGCAACATGGTGTCGCAATATCGCCAGTGAGAAATATCAGAAGCGCAACTGTTGCGAGGGGCGCCAGGTGTCCAATCCCAGTGTACTTCAACTTCCATGTCTGAGGTAGTGGGCGCCGCCGAGGGAGTTTCAGTAGCGCCTTCACGTCCGGCCTTTCTACCGGTATCTTGTAAGCGGGAGAAAGGTGGCCGGACAGGTAGGTGAGAAGCGAGCCATCTGAGGCGGGAACGCTTTGGCTCGGAGGAGGGGCCACTAAAGATTGCTTGATAACCGTCATATCATTCTTCAAGTATGACTTGGGGGTGGCCCGGGCCGGAGCTGGATTCAAAGGCTTCGGAGTCGGGCCCCACGGGACTGGGTTAGGAGCTCCGGCCGGGGCCGACACCGGCTTATAGCCTGCAGTCACTGGCTCCGCCAAGGGAGGCTCGTCGCCCCGGAGGGGATTCTGGGAGACCACGATGGGGGCCGCGTACTTGGTGCCTACCCTCTTGTAGTAGTCCACGAATGACAGGGTCCCGTCGAGGTTGTCGTTGAACTTTGAGCTACGATGCTTTGCCTGTATACTGTTAATGTCACAGGACTCTGGGATCAACCGAATAGAAGACTTACGCAGAAGTGCGCTCCAAGCCCATTCCACTTTGGAAAAATGACGCGACAGTTGCGCACCGGACAGATGTATGGGTTTTTTGGGTCAGAGTGAAATTTGTAATTCGTAGGTATGATAGCGCCACAGGTAGATTCTATGCCCTGGGGCGTTCTCCATTGCAAATAGCCGCGAGGATGAGGGTTTTTCGTGAACGTGAACTCTTGATCAGTGCCTTGAGATGGCGGCTGTGTCCCTGTCAGTTACAGTCTTTTGGGTTACGAGGCACTTCTCTTACGAGGGCGGCTTTTGTGGATGGCGTGCCTGTAGTGTTGATCTCCAGGTCTCCTTCAGTCTCTCCGCCTTCGTCTTCGTCTTCGTCCGTTACATGATCAGCATCTGCTTGGTCCTCGTAGTCCATATCCTCGTCCGAGGATTCAATGACTTGAGCTTGATGCGTTGCCCCTGCCGGCGATGAGGCGTCTTCGGTGCTTTTCAGGATGTCTGGCCTGGAACCGGGTTGTCCGAGCCCGAGGACGTTCAGTAAGTCCTGCTCCGTGGCAGCTGGATTTGTTCCTTCTTCAGATAAGTACCTGGTTGATGCGCCACGAATGTCGATGTCTGTTGCCTGCCGCTTGGCATCACCCCCAGCCAAGTTCTCAGTTAGAGCATGCTTTCTCTTGAACGATGCTTCGGATGCAGATCCTGTATGCGTGTCAGTAAGTGGCAGTCTCGACTGAATTCCTCCATGAAGCGCCGTCAAGAACGGCTCTCAAACAGAGATTGCTTGTGAGACCCAATCTGGCAAGAGCTGGAAGGGGCAAGTCAACTCACCACCACCACCAAGCCAGTCCTTTGCATTCGCCGACTGTCCAGCAGAACCCGATTGACCTCCAGATGCGTTACTCGAGGCCCACGAATCTTGCAGAGCCTGGATTTTGGCATGCTGCGCAAGGCTCTTCTTCTCGCGCGCCATGTCGGAATCTGAACCACCTTCCGAAAGTACTGCTTCGAGCTTGACTGCTAATGGGTCTTCAGGGTCGGGCTGAGCAATGTCGCTCACAATGCGAGCTGGTTCCGGGCTACCTGACTCCGTGCCGCCGCTGTCGTCGGAATCTTCAGCACTCGAACTTGGTTGAGCGAACTCCAGCTCTGGTGTGTCGATTTTGCTCTCAGCCTGGGCCTGAGGTAGAGCTTGAGCTTGAAGAGGAGCAGAAGCTTGAGCAGGGGTGGGAGGCGATGGAGCAGGTGCCGTAAATGACTTTCCGCCTAGCAAGGAAGTCGCCCAAGGTGGTGCCTGTCCTCCGTAAAGACTCGGTCTCATGAGCGGTTTCGCTGCTCCGGTCCTCTTCATCTTCCTGCTTGACGTTTCCCCGCTGCCGGAGGCTGAAGAAGGCGACACTGTGCGGGTGGCATTGTTTGCCTGGGTAGTCGAGATCGTATTGGCCGGTGATGAGGCGTGCTTAAATGAATGTGAGAGCCCAGATGGTTGTGCGGTCTGAGCGTTGGATGCCATTGTTCTATTCCTTTGAATTGAGAGACGAGGTTGCTGCCCACCTCATGCAGCTGCACACGCACTTCCAGATTGGGGATGCTGCTGCGGGGGGTCGGGTCCAAGTCCTGTCACTTTCAATTGCTTCGCATCGAATTAGAGGGGTCAAATGGTTGCGTAAGATAGATATTAATATCAAGTATTATGGCAAACGAGAATTAGATTCTGGCAGGCGTCTGGACGTCTGATCATGAAGAGCAATGAGAGAGTGAAGAGAAGGTCGAAGGTTGAAGATGGACGTTGAAGGAGACGCGACGGGACACGCGACTGCTGGGGGCGCAGGCCATTGGTTCAGGTACTCCTTCCCCCAAAATTGGTGGTTTGGTACATTGCAATTCAGCAAGTACCTCCCCACACGCGACCTCGACGGGAAGTCATTAAAAAGGCAAGTGCCAACGGCTGCCCTGAAGAACCCCTTTTGCAGCAAAGTAGGTAGGAAAAGAGTCGAATTCTCATCCAAGAAGATCTTGGTCAGGGTGATTATATTTTACGAGCTAGAAACGCTACATTCACCAGCAGATTCAACATGTCACTTCACGTAGCGCCGACGTCAGAGAATATGACACCAAATCGTGGATGTTAGTATGGATTTGTACAAGATATTCTACACTCAAGATGACCCCCATGACATTTACGCCTCGGTAGCCATGATACACATCATCCCAATTCGCCTACTCTCACACGTAGATCCCACCCATGCCCCAAGCAATTCCCCAAGCAAAAGATACAGTCGATCGATTACCGCTTCTTCTGCGACTTGGCAGCCTTGGCCGCCACCTTCTGCGCCTTCTGCTTCTGCTTCTTCTGCTTGGCCAACACGGCGGCGTTCTTCTGCTCCGAAAGCCTCTTGGACGCCGCAATCGTCCACTCGTCCACCTCCATCTCGGCAAACCTGGCCTGCGCCGCCCTCTGCCCCGACAAGTTACGCTCCTTGGCGTATCTCTTCTGCCTCAGCTTGGCCTTGCGGCTCATGCCGCCAATGTTCATCTTGACCAGCCTTCCGATGCGCCAGTTGTCCTCGCGGTACGAGTAGTCGTCCCGCAGCTTCAGGATGCGGGCCGGCTGCGTGGGTGCGCCCTTGGCCGTCCGGGGCGCGGGCCGCACAACCTGCGTGGGGATGCCAGAGGCCGAGATGGCGGGCGTCTCGACGGGCTTGGCGATGGTATGTGCAGACATGTTGAGCTTGCGCTTGCGTTCGGCGTGCGTCGGGTAGGGGAGAACGTCGTCCTTGTTGAAGACGACGCCAATGTATTTCCGGTCCGGGTGGCGCGCGGGATCGCGGTAGTATTTGACGTAGCCCGTGGCCATGGCGTGGATCGTGTGGTCGCGGCCCATGATGCAGTTCTCGCCGGGCCACCAGAGGGAGCCGCGCTGCTTGTAGATGATGTTGCCGGGGATGACATACTGGTCTGCAAGCTGTTAGTATCGAGCTCTTGACCGTCCGTCCGTAGTGATGATTATGGAGTTCTCCACTGAACCCAGCTCAAGGTGTATGAGAGAAAGACGGAACAAACGTACCACCAGTGCGCTTCGCTCCCAGCTTCTTCGGTATCGTCCTCTTGGGTGCAAGTTTGTAGGCACCCTGCGACTTGACGGAGGCGTATCTTCGTCCGGCCACGAGAGCGTTGGCGGCGTCGGCGCGGAGCAGCTGCGCGGCGGTCGAGGTCGTGGACTGGATGGGTGCGGTCGTCCGCAGGAGACCGGCGGCAGCGGCCATCAAGGGCCGCTGCAATTGGAATAGACGCATCAGGTGTGCTTCGTGGACGAGCTGCCCATATGTCGTCAATGGCAACTCAGCTGGGTATTGCGTTCTCTCGCCAATTGAAGCTTTGCGTGCATCAAGGGACGGGAGATGGGCTGAGAGTATTTTTCCGGCTGAGTCAGCGGGTACCGATAGCGATAAGGAATTTGGGGGCGGGTCCAAGGTGGTCTTTTGGACAGCTATCCGTAGGCGCATTGGCGCAGACAGGCACTGGCCACAGCGACATTCAGCAAGACGACGAACACTTCGAGCGAACACTACGACGGGAGCAACAAAAGTAAATCAAGGGAAACATTCTCACTCTTTTTCCTTTTCTCCTGGTACCGAACAACCGACGAGATGCGCTTTTTCGCCTCCCTCCCGCTGGTCCTCCTGACCTTGATCAGCTCGGCCCAGGCCCAGTTTGGCTTCTTCGACCAGATGTTCGGCGGCCAGCAACAGCAACAGCAGCCTCAAAATGTTCCCAGCGACCCATCACAATACCAGCAACGATACGACGGATGTAAGATATCTATCTTAACCCCTCAAGCTCTTTCAAATACAGAATCGCTAACGACTGTAGCTTACTGCGAACACTATCTCTGCCCCGACACCCTCGCCTGCGTCCACTTCCCCCACCACTGCCCTTGCCCCTGGCCCGCGAACCAAGACAAGTTCGAGCTCACAGACGGCAACCGGATCTGCGTATCGAGAGGCGGCTTTGCGGCAGGCGAGGCGGCGAGGAAGATTGAGTTGGCGCGCAAGGGTCTCTTGTAAGGAATGAGTTGGGAGGGGGTAGCAGATCGAATAGGCATTGCAAGGCGCACATAGACACCAGAGCCATTTCTACTTTTGGACTTCTTTTCACATGAGCCACAAAATTGATGGATATTACGAGACAGACAAAGTTTGATAGGACAATTCAGACTCTATTGAAAGTGCCAGGTTCTGGCCGAAGCAAAAAGCCTACTTAGTCGTGCTGAAATACGCCTCCCGACCGCCGAGGGTGGCAAAGGCGCCAACGGCGAACAGGAAGCAGACTGCTGCTGTGACTGCGAAACGCGACGATTACAGACACGAAGGCCCCGGAACGCCGCTAAAATCCCCATCCGTGATATCCACCCAAAACTCCTTCGTGTGCCACGCCGTTGCCGGATGCTGATTTCCATCTCGACCCCAAAAAGCGTCAACAGTGCGTGAAAATGCTCGTAATGCGTCTCCCGTATCGTCCTCCTCGGCACGGCATGCCGGCTGAACGTGAACTCAGCCAGTGATATCCGCCGCCACCCAAGCTCAGGCCTGGCCGTTGGTAGCCTCGCTAGGCCGGGGAAGAGCAGGGACGGGAGGCGGCCCGCGGGCGGAACGCTCCTCGTCGTCTTCCTCCTCCAGTTCTTCGGGGTGGCCCAACAAGTGGGCCACATCCTTCATTTCGTAGTGCTTCTTGCGCAACTCCTCGAAACGACGGTGCTTCTCCCGCTCCTCAGGCGAAAGGCCGGCCAGCTCATCGTCGTCGCCGTGAGCGCTGGCGCTGTCGTCGACGTGGACGGCCTTGAGGGCTTTTTCCTTGGACGACTCGCTTTCCGGGACCGCCTCTTCCGGCTCGCCAAGCGACATGATAGGGATATCATCCTCCACGCCAGGACCAGCACGAGCCGTGCGAGGCTTCCTCTCAACGCTGGGGTCTTCCGACATTTCCTCGTCGTCCGAGGGGTCCTCGGTGGGGTCGTAGTGCTTCGCATAGGGAGTCTTGGGCTCGTCAATCTTCATAGTTGACGAGCGCTCCTGCTCGGTGAGGTAAAGGTTGGCCTCGTCCCACTTGAGGCGCTGGGACGATTCGAGATCTTGCTCGTCGTCGCCCTGCTGGGAGGGGGTTCGGCTGGATTGGCGGCGGGAACCTGACGGGCGAGCTGCGGAAGATGAGCGGCGATGGCCAGCGTTGTATTGGGTGTTGACGAGGGTGAGCTCCTTCTCGGTGAGGTCGGCTTCACCGGGTGAGGTTGGTGGCGACTTTTGATACGAGTTCTTGAGGATACCTGCAATGAATGGGTAGTCAGTCATTGCGATCTTCCCCGGCCAAGACTGACTGGCGTTGAGGTCTTGGACAACGGACGCCTTGCAGAAGAGTTACTCACCTCTGGGTCTCTTGGGATGGGGACCAGGAGGGGAATGCGTAGGGGGGCTGCGTTCGACGATGGCGGCCATTTTGAAGGTTTCTGCAATGACGGACTAAGCTAAGGTAGTGTGTATGCAAAGAGCTGGAATTTGGTGAAGCAGAGGTAAATAGTCGTGATACCCAGTCTCGTGAGATGTGTCGGTCAGGTCGTTGGGTTTTAGTTGGGGTTTGGATCAGTTTGGCTGGGTTGATATTAGGTGAGGTGAGGTGGGTAGAGGGTAAAATAGCGGGGTGTGGGAAATCTGGTGACGAAAGGCGGTGGTTTTGTTCACAGGGTGCTGCACTGCTGTGTGTTGCGCGCAGGCTCAGGCTTGCAGCTGGGTCCTGAGGATGACGAGGGGTGGTGGTTCGTGACCTGCAGGGTGCGGGTGCTTGTGCGGATGCGCCGACCAGGGGTGGGCTGAGCTGTGCTTTGGGAGCTGGGTACGTCTTAGTAGTGAACGTGGGACGTCCCTCTTCTTTTCCTTTTTCTTTTTTGGGTGTTGGATGATAGAAGGGGCTCGTGATGTTTGTGAAACAGGGAGATTGTCGGGATGTGTCGAAGAATGTGTAGAGGTTGTCGGGACGATCAGGGTTGAAGAGGGTTCGGGAGGAAAAGAAACCCAGGGCTGGCAAGATGATGAGCAAGCAGAGGCGTGTTGAGGGACTTTGTTGCAGTCAGGAAGTGGAATGTCAGGCAAATGACGGCGGTGAGGTGGGCAGGTGAGCAGATACGGCAGAGGTGCTGCTTTTTGAAGGTTGCCATCTTGTCTTATACCGCCGGGCCACAGGCAATGGCAGATGCAGCTCTCTCACCCCTCATTGGCACATGGGAGAAAAGTCTGGACTCGGAAGCCCCCCCAGGTGCCAGATGCAGCATCAGGTAGGTAGCTCATGAGCAGGGTTGCGTGGGTTCACTCTGTCTGTCACCTCGGGCTTTATTCTCGACTGCACAGCGACATTGCCTCCATCTTCCCAGCTGAGGTTACATCTTCAGACCTTTTTATTCCAGTTTGCCCGCAGCAGTGCAGATATACGCAGTAGGTCCATAGATGGTGAGAGATAGCACAGGAAAGGTACGGATACTTGGTAAGGTACTTGAAATATCGATGCCTAGCAGCTGGAACTGCTCGTGTGAGTGAGTTGGTGTGTATCTGTACAAAAAGTAGTGCATCTGATTCTGCGCAACTGCGGCATGCGGGGATGAGAGGGAGGCTGGGGTGGCCTTGGGAAAGAACTCGATGGGTCACAGTCGCCTTTTTCGGGGTCACTACCGGTACCCCCTTGTCCCACCCACTAACGATTCACTCGGGTCGCTTTTGGGGGCCTCTCACCGGTTCAAGCACCAAAGGGCCGCGTCTTCCGCGTCTGTCGCTTCCGACAAGGTGATGATGGATCATTGACGTCGGGTGTCACTGCAGCCGTAGTTCGCTTCGAGCGTCTTCTAGGTACGCCTAAGCGACCAAGGCAAGGCACAGCCAGGTAAGGCAGGGCATGTAAGACACATCGGACATGCGAGGATAGGTTAGGTACTCTCAAGAAGTAGGTACATACATGCTGGATTGAAGAGGGAGGGAGTCACTGTATCTTCAGGCTTGTTTCGACTACATTAGCCTGTTGCGAGGTTGGGCTTGCTTGGGCGTGTTTGGGCTGGGAGCCGCAGTGAAGAAAAGGCCGCCATGCGTCAGGAAAAGGCGAGTGGTGGAAATGCCGGAGCTCTGGCTGCCAGAGGTACCGAATACCCTCGAATTACCTTGATAAGGCATTCATCCTCAGCCCTGAGGTATCCATTGGCAAGTGCTCTTGTACCTTGTGCCTTGATTCCTGAGGTCTGAATCCTTCCAGGTTCTCCATCGTCTCCATGTGGAAGTGGCAGGTGTGGACCCCGACTCCTGGATTGCTGCACAGGCGTTGGCTGGTTCTCGACGTGAAGGTGGTCTGTGCGTGGAATCGCGATCACCCGCAGGCAGGTGCGACTGACAAACTGTGCAAGCAGCAGCAGGGACACGGAAGGAAGAGGCGATGAGCGGCTTCTTGCTGCTGCCTCGTGCTGTGTCGTGCACCGCCCACAGTTGTTCCTATTTCTAGATCAGGTCTCATCCCTCATTCTCACTCGCACATGTCGTGTAATTCACTTCAGCATCTCACTCAGGGGCCCCAGAACTGAGCCATATGGGTTCTTGTCTTCTCTTCAGCTCGCATATGCCAATGCTCATCCTGTCGAGTAAGAATTATTCAATCATCGTAATCGTCGTTTCTTCTGCGACTCATGTCATGGTAATAATGGAAACCAAGTCAATTCGCTACATTTCCCCTCATCTCCCAACCTTCAAACTCACTCCGCTACTAATGAAAACACTCTTTTGTCTGACTTGCCCCCTCACGTTTTACCTACTTTCCGTGACTCTAGAGGCTCCCCGCCATCGTGACGACGTCATCCGACATGCATCACCCCTCGTCAACATCCAGCACCATCCACTAACCTTACCACTTCACCACGATGGCTCGCTTTCTCTTCCCTCCATTTTCGCGCTTTCCCCTCATTCTGCTCACTCCTCAGAGCAAACCGCGGCTGTCATCCCATAAAGTGACCTCATGCCGCATCTCACAAACACACAAAGCAACCAATCCAATCCACCAACCTCACAACTGGAATCCCCAGAGTTCATGCACTCCAGCTCAGACCAAGGTAGCGTGAATTCATGATCGTATATCCTTGGGCTCGCTCCTTCATGGACCTTTAGACTCAAGCCCATCGCTCCATCACCCCGTCATCAAATGCCCTGGCGCGGCCCACTTAACTCCCGTCGCATGGCAGCGTCATTCCAGAATCCGGGGTGCATCGGTCCTAGTGCTCATCCACAATACCAAATTCTTTCTCATCCAACTGTGTTCAACGTCAGCAATCTTACTCATCGCTGGCCGTTAGGTATTCATCTTCTTCGCCGTTGAGCGAGACCATCTCTGAATTGCCGATTACCATATCCGAAGCAGGCAGGAAAGTTCCAGTGTTCCACTACTCTCCCCTTCAGGCATCCAAACTTCTGGCTCGCATTCCTTTTCCTCAACGTCGTTGCACCTCATCTCTCCGAAACGCCGGGCCCCCTCAACTCATGTTTGCCTTGACCTCCGATGAACAGAAACCATAAATGATCCACTTCCCACACGGCCCGGTCTCGGCCGCCGTTGACTTTCCCACTTCCGGCCTTCATTCCCGCCCCCGCGTGGTTTGTCCCGCCTAATTTCTCCGGTGCCCGCCGCATCAGTTTCGAGGATTCTTCTCTGGAATGATACAAGGGCATAAAACATTGGATGAACACCGGCAAACAACACTTTCGTTTTAATGAGCGAGCTGTTTCGGGTTTCACTACAAAGTTTCGGGACACTTCGTAAGAGGAAATACAACCATCGTGTGTTTTGCAGATTCAACCCCGTCACAGGTAAGGCTACGTCAAATATTGATGATCCTGAAGCTCAACCCTGTATGAGATGCGCTCGCCTGCCAGGTAAACTTTTAAATGTAATAAGCGCACACAGCGCAGTCCTTCGTTCTAAGGACATGGTCCTATGGATATCTTGTGGGACGGGCCGGACAGGCTAACTCCGGTGGCTCAATAACGCCAGTGGCTATGCCGGTTCATGCCGATAATGCTTACAGCATCAAGTTGTGCAACCCTCGCTTTCAACACTTGTACGACCGTCGCTGGATTTACTCTTTGGGTGATGCGGCCTTGACGGTGACCGTCAAGCCATCTCCTCCCGCCTTGGCCTGCCGAACCATTGCCTGGAACTGGCCCTCATTCGCCAAATCCTTCATCACAATCTCCCTCGTCCTCTGAAGACCCTCCAATTCATCAAGTCTCTCCAAGCTGGCTTCAAGAAGCTCATCGAACCCTTCCTGCGCGCAGATCTCCTTGAAGGCGTTATGCATCGGCACAGAGTCCGCGCGAACCATGGAATTTGAATCGATCGAGAAGATGTTGAAGTGGTCATGTTTCTGAATGAAGTCGAATCTCGTCATAAGATGTCTCGCCTCGTGGAGAGGCATCTCCGGGAGCTTTCCGGCCAGTAGCTCTTCTGGCTTCATATCCTTCTCCTTCTCAATCAACGCCTTGGCCAGCAAGAATGCTGTAGTGGCGTGGTCTTGCTGATCCTCGGCATCGGGATCCATGTCGGCGCCCAACATCCAGCACTGGCCCAGGAGCCAGCGTTTCTCCCTGTCGCAAATGAACTTGCAGGCCGCGAGCATGTCTTTTGATCTCGCGACGTGGTCGAGGAACCTGACGCGTCCACCAACCAGCTTGTAGACTTGGTTCAGGATATCGCTAGACACATCCTCCTTGAAGACCTTTTGCCGGAATTCGTGGAGTGCTTCAACAGCAGGATCGCGAGGCACATCGCGGACGTCGGTCACGGATATCCGCGTGGCTTGCCATTTGAGGTGCTCGGTGGTACTGTGGTCGTCACTGGTGAACACCACCGTGGCAAGGCGACTTGCCGCCCACATCTCCGCCCGCTGTTGTATCAACTCCAGCAGCTCGCGTCCGTCGTCGTCATCTCGGAGGACGTGAACGCGATTGATGATCAAGACCAGAGGCTTCCGAATGTGTCTCTGCCGCATCAGGGCCACCTTTTCCATCTTGTTGAAGGCTCTTTCAATATCGAGGATGGCAGTCGAATCGCGCGGGCCCTTGAAGCTGAACAAGCTCCCGATATAGTCTTCGTGGAACTCAAAGTCGAGGGCTTTGCCCAGACGGAGACGAAAGACCTCGAGGTCGCTGTGGGCTTCGAGCATGGCGATCCCCGAACCGTTGACCCTGCGCATCGCCTTGAGGATCATGGAGCTCTTCCCCGTGCCTTTCTCTCCCGTGATCAAGTGATATTGACCTCGGATAGTCCCGTCAATGATGCCGTCAATGTGATCCTGCTCAGCACGCGGGATCCATTCATTCTCACCCTCCAAGCCCGTGAAGTCATCGATGGTATGGAGCTTATGAGGAGCCACGTGGCGTCCTAGAGCCGTCAGCTCCGGTGTCGAGAAGCCGACGCCAAAGGCATTGTCCATCTTTCGCAGGACAAGGTCCTTGTAGTAGGCGTGGTAGGAGTAGCCTGCTAGGCCGAGGACCGCGATGGAGCCAAAGGCCGTCGCACTGCCCTCCACGACTCTCCAGAAGGTGGGTTTCCAGCCATGGGGTGAATCTTCAGATTCATCTTTTTCGTGCCGTTGCTTGTCGTGAGAAGAGCCGTACGTCGGACCTTGTTGCTCCACGACGATGAAGCGGGTCCGCGTATGGGCTCTGCTAGTTGCCTGGTAGGCCTGAGCATCGATGAAGGCATGGGATTAGTTTGATGCCACGTGAGATAGTTTTGCTAGATGTGCTTACCCTCCATTGCTTCGAGAGAAGGTAGCGTCTAGCCATCCGTGAGTTGATGTGGTATTCCGGGCTGGACGGGTTGTCACGCGGAGGTGTCACGGAGGAACTTGGCACTAAGAACCGTGGCTGTTTCCAGAATCCACGATTTCTCATTAATGGTCGCGAATACACGCCCGGAATCCAACCTGCTTTGATAATATGTCAGGGTCGACACAGAGTCCAGGCCTTTGCAAGAGAAGTCTTCCAAATTTCTTGGCAAAACATGCGCGTCCTGCGACGGACTTTGGGCCAAAATGGCCGTTCGTGTCGTCAAAAGGGACAGAAGTTGCAGAGGCACGGTGACGGGCCCGCCATTTTGCATCAGGGCGACGATGTAGAACCTTAACGGGAGGGGCCGTGAATAAACTGGGGGAGTGATAGAGGCTACTTGTTGACAGGTTCATGCGACAAGCCAAGTAATTACAGGGGCCTTCCGCGGGCCGCACCCCCAGAACCGTCTATTGTTAGCAAGGATCCATAAAACCCATCTTCGCCATCCAGCTCATGAACGAAAAAGCACCCGAAGGGTTATCTCATCGACTGCAAATGCGTCCTGTTTTAGCATACCTGCTTGATTATAGTTATTCCCGTTGATATTTTCTCCTTTGTGCTCTTCTGTGTGAAGAAACGGTACGCACTGAAATTCATGGATCATCAGGACCCGCCTTAAGATAGTAGGTGAAATTTGCGAGTATCCCGAACTACTCATCGTTCTCACTGAAAAGTTGGGCAATGAGGTTTCTGACGTAGGTTGCTCGCTGTAGCACTGAAATACTACGAAGTTCATGGCTGGGACTTGAACTCTACCAAGAGCGGTCTTCTACCAATTCAATACGAGGTATTGGCAAGATGACATTACACTGCCCTCTCGGCTGATGACCACTCGACGACAAATCTTTGGTCATTACAGTAATCAAGAATGAAGGCGAGAAAAGATATTGATAGAATTCTATCATGGATATGCCGTTGGTGAAAGCATTGATGTCCTGGTAAACACTAGACCGAAGCCCTTGGACAACCGAAGGATTAGCTGCTGTATTGCCGTCAACAGCTCTTCGAGAGGAAATCATCAATCACGCACCCAGAATCCTAACAATATCTGCAAATCAAAGAGCCTCATTAGGGCAGGAACTCAACAGTCTTTGTGGAGTCGGGAGACCTGATGCTTGACCAACTCAAGCAACCGCCCGTACAGCTATTGCCCAAGTACCTACCTTAGGTCCCGATGACCTCCTTGAGCTTCTGATCTAGATTTGCCATTCCATGAGATATCATCTTCCACCATGAGCAAGTCACAGGACTCCGGATAGAGGTATGGGAAACTCTATTTCCCCTCGGGTCAATGGCATCACGTGTAAATGGGCCATAGCGAGCCGTTTCCGGGTGGTATGAGATGTGATTTGGGATACAGGGACGAGGATGGTGGAAATGAATCAGGGGCTTTCTTCCAGCTGGTTGCAGACTGTTTTCGTATATCCGCTTGTCAATATGTTACGCGTAAGCTTCTTGAGAGCAAACTATCCAGGAGAGCAACCATCAGCGGAACGTACGACATATCAGTCACAATGCGAACAATGCCAAAGAAGAAAGTGCCATAAAAGATCACCAATATTCAACTTCTTGAAGGTTGCAGGATATGTGCTTGTGATAATTCGACACTGTCTTTTGATTGAAGTCACAGAGAAGTTGGTTTTATGGGGTCAAGTCATTTTTCTAGCGGTATTATGAATACTTAAGTAAATGTGTCGTTGAAATATTTGTGTTAGTCAATGCGAACGCCTACAAAATTATACTACGCCACGACCTACCCCGGTCGTCATCCCTACCTCGGCTTCTACCCCAGGAGGTGCTCCGCGATCAAGGCAACGTCGATGCTAAGAACTGATTGTCGCAAGAGACGTTCATCAAGATTCGAGAATGACTGATACCCAAGGAGAACAAGATCTCTAAGCACCCTTTACTTCTTGATAGAGAATCACCACGTGTCTATAATATTTCCGGGACGGGGGAGGGGGGATGCAAACATACTGAAGTCACAAAGGTGTAGAACTGTACCTGACAGCAGAACTTTGATTTATGAGTACGCAGAGGCTCCAGCTGTGAAGAAATCCACTGCGGAAAATGGCTTCCACCTAAGGAACAGACTGACTCTTTACCTTAACCGTCACTTGCCGAGTCTTTAAAGTAGGCATACGCGTACAAGACAGAAACTAGGCCTGGTGGAATCTCTGTGTACCCCTAGCTCCCGAGATCGAGGTTGGTTAGGTGCTCCTGGCATGTCGGTGGCTATGACGCGAGACACGGCTGGACCACCGAGGGCGCGATAACGTCCGCAATGCAAACGTCCACGTTGAATATTTCTGGCTACTCACCCGAGACAAATTGAGTCGGTAGAGACTAGCAACGCCACAAAGGGAACCGCCGACGGGTTGCTAATCCATAATCCATTAATCCACATAGACCCCCCCACATGGCATTACGCTTGATTTTATCTTTAACCCTTGGCTTAATTACCCCTTAAAAGGTCCGAACCATTCGGAAAGGAGAGGGTGATTTCATTGAGGTCTCTGTGATTCGCCGGCCGTTTCCCCGCAAAGTAGCAGCGTCGCACTAAGATCTGCCCTCCGCCGCCCAAGCTCCCACATACCGGGACTTGGCATCCGACTACAGCCTCAATCCCTCCGGTAGACGGTGCGTGACTGCAAGTCGATGTGAAAACCCATGCGTTGGACCGAGGACTGATGACGAGTCACCCATACGTACGCAGTTTGCAAAAGATTGCGATGTTGCGGTTTGCCCTTGTTGTGTGATTCGGAGGCGTGAATGATCAAGCGTGACGATATCTTGTTCCCTCCTCAAGATGGCATACATAAAGACGATGAGCCATGGCGAAAACCAACAGCTCTTGTTTTTTTCCTCACCACCATCAGTCATTCTAGGCACCTCTCCTTCACTTCTTCACTTGAGCAAGACCTTGAGAAATTTCATTCTTTTTTCACTTTACTTTCGCTATTTTCAAATTTGAACTCTCGATCCAACAAAATGGTTACCGTTTCCCGCCTCGCTTTGGCGGCTATCGCACTCACCGGTGTTACTGCACACCCAGGAGAGAAGCATGATCCTCACGTCCACAAGCGCGAGATGGCTCTGCGCCGATCTGTTGCCGCCAACACCCGCCGGGCTCTCGACGCCTGTGCCGGCTCGGCTGCCGACATCGCCCTCAAGCAGCGTGCTATCCAACGTCGCGAGGCCAAGCTCAAGGAGCTCCGCGCCAAGAGATCCATCTCTGCGACTGGTAGGTTTCCCACGGCACCCTTTCGTTCCTTCTTCCTGGCTGACATGTGATTCTTTAGCTCCGATCCGCCGCCGTGCTGAGAGTGACTTGACCACCTGGGCAGCTATCGACCATGAGTCTTCCGCGGGATACACACTCGATACCGACCCTGCGACTCTCTTCGCCCAGAACACCACCTGCGTCGTCGTTCCCGAGACCACGATTGGTCCCTACTGGGTTGCCGGCGAGCTGATCCGCAGTGAGATGACCGATGGACAGTCCGGCGTGCCTCTGCACCTCGACGTCCAATTCGTCGACGTCTCCACCTGCGCGGGTGTGCCCGAGATCCTGATCGACGCTTGGCACTGCAACGCTACCGGCGTGTACTCTGGTGTCTCTGCCACCGGCCAGGGCGGTCTGAACTCGACCTTTGGACGCGGTGTTCAGCAGACCGACGACGATGGAGTTGTCCAGTTCGATACCATGTTTCCGGGCCATTACACCGGCCGTGCTACCCACATTCACGTCAAGACGACGACGGGCGCCACTGTCCTGGACAACGACACCTACGTCGACGGCGTGACCAACCACGTCGGCCAGCTTTTCTTCGACCAGACCCTCATCTCCGAAGTCGAGGCTGTCGCGCCTTACAACACCAACACGCAGGAGCTGACTCTCAACTCTGGTGACAGTATCGCCTTTGGTGAAGCGACTGCGGACTACGACCCCTTTGTCCAGTACGTCCTGCTCGGCGACGACATCTCCGAGGGCGTTTTGGCCTGGATCACCGTTGGATACAACACCACCGCCGACTATTCCAGCTCTGCCAGCGCTGCTGCTCACTACTACGCCGATGGCGGTGTCGATACCTCTTCCGGCAACGGTGGCGGTGGCCCCGGAGGTGCCGGTGGTCCTCCCAGCGGTACCTTCCCTAGCGGTGCCGGTCCCAGTGGTGCTCCCCCGAGCGGTGCTGCTTCTGGCGTTCCCCCTGCTACCTCTGCTACTTCTGCTGCCGCTTCCACCACCACGACTGCCGCCTCCAAGGGTGGCTGTGCGCGCAAGCGTCACTTGTAAATTTAGTGCGAAGATTGGAGTCCTAAAAGGCGGCAAGCGGCTCTGGCGGTGGTACCGTCTTGGTACCTGCCGTTGAGGAACTGGACGTTGACGGAGTGATTATGAGCGTGGATGCGAATCGGTGGTCATTGCTTTCTGAAGGATATGTTTTGGCGAGAATGTTTGTTTGTACTTTACTAGCGAGATGGAGAAAAAGGTGGTAGAACCGTAGAAGTTGGTGTAAATCTTGCCTGACACCGTCCTGTTTGGATTATCGAATCAATCGAATGCGTGTTCTCTAGCATTGGAAAAGCCCACAATCAGCGTTGAATTACAAACACGGCTACACTATACAAACATTTGACTTTTCGCTTCCAAAGTTCCGAGTTCCTCATTAATCATCTTGAAGTACATGTGTGGTTGAAGGGGAGCTGTGAAAGACCGCCATACCAGTGCTAGTGCTTTCCTCTGCATGAATCCGGCTAAACCGCGCCGGTAGCCATCGTAGACATTGTTCAGCTATCGCGGTACTGGCGCACGAACTCATGCAGTTGCACGAGAGAGTCGTGTCCAACTTTCTGCATGTACGCAGAACTCCTGTCTCCTGAGATGGAGACGTGAACGAGCTTTCTTGCTATCCAGCATAGCTCGCTATTGTACCGGATCATGCCTGCTTTCTCGAATGCGGCGGGCTCCATGCGACCCCTTATCATGTCCCACATGACTTCCCACCTGGAAACGGCACGCAGTAGGGCTGGTGCGCACGCAGGTAAGACGCCCATGAGATTGGCCGATGCCAACATGCCGTTGAGTGCTATTGTCATTAGATTCATCCACTTCTTGCGTATGCTTGAAACCAGAAGAGGCAAAGGGGCCGAACATACCGAAAATTAACAACTGTAGGTCGGATCCGCTGATATCCTGGAACGGAAAGCTTCCCATGCCGACCCAATTCTCAGCCATCAGCGCGTCGGTGCATTGTTTGACTGAACAAATCCTCCTGGAACCATCGGCCCCGAGAGCATTGGCCGCTTCATAGTACTCCGCCGCGTCTTTGGCATCCCAAAGTTCCAAGGGGCTTGGCAGATCACAAGTCAACTCTGCAGGCGTCATCGACGGCGGTGTATTGAACATGCCGCATTGCTGCCAGTCTCCCAGCGCCGTCCATATGGCTAGTCTGCACATCTGTCAACAACAGTGTCTACTGAGGGGGTAGAGAAGGCTCACCTGATTTTTGACTCATTGCGTACAAACTCTTCGTATTGGAATATGGGAGCATGTTTGGTCTGTGCTAGACCGAGAACCCGTACGGCCGATACAAGCTGCGGGAGTCGCTGGGTTCTATTCTTCCTCCGTGATGCTACGTCGTTTCGGAAGAACTGAACAGAGTGGATCATGAGGGCTGCCTGTAGTGTTTCTTGAAGCTCATGGGTGAACTCTGGCGCTGAGCCTGGGGGCATCAGACGCTCAAGGCAACGAAATATGTATTCCTCGGCAAGCGTGAGATACCCACGGGCTGCGAGGGCGTCGTCGCTTGGAGGTGATCTGAGAGACCCAGAGAGTCCAACGGCCAGGAGGAGCTGTTTGGTTGTGTAGTCACTGCCAAAGTCTGGCCGATGGACGATAGGAAAGTCAAGATGACTGACTCGGAAGTAGGTCGCAGCAAATTGGCACAGATTTCCTGCCGAGAACACCGAGTTTGCTGTGTCAAGATCGAAGGTGCCGTCGTACCATTGGTTCGTGGCAACCAGAGTATGATGAAGTTCTTGTAATCCCGAGATTATTTCGGCTGACCGCGGTTCTAGGCTTTCAGGTACAAGAAACGACATCCTAGTGTTGGATAGTATGTTTTCTGATAAGACGTCCAAGGAGTTGAAGTCTATCAGCTCGGGAGCGAATGTTGATGCAAACCCATAAGGGAGGAACGTGAAGTCATCATCGATCAGCATGTTTGGAGGGTATTGCGTGGGCACATGCATGTCCTTCATTGTTGGATCGATTCCATCGCCCTCGGTTCTCGCCGCTGCTTCGCTGGCGAGGAACTCAAGGATATTTTCCGAGTTGGGATTTGTCAGACCGAGAAGGAAAGCGACTGTGATTTTGGTGCGGTCCTTGTCATTATCGGGTGTGCCTACCGCGGTGGTGGCCAATGATGAGGATGGTGTGGATGAGGATGCATCTGTGATGACAGATGTACTCTCTTCCAACCGGTGATAAGTGCATGGGAGCTTGCGAGAGACGCATCGCACGCAGGGATCAGAAGTATCGCATGACTGCTTGCTGTGAAAGCAGGCGTCGCATGCGCGGGGTTTCTGGCCGCGCTTGAGATTTGGAACGGTTTCTTGGTCTTGTTTCTTGGGGCAGTGGACTGTGTGCTTACGGCACACATCTCTGTCACGTGTTAGTGTGGTTTTCGGCATGGATGTGCGCAAGTTGATACGAACCGTCTGGCGAACGCCTTTTCGCAGTACAGGCACTTGTACCTAGCCGATTCTACGTCTGCGAGGTTGTGAGTACCGAGGTCAAAAACATCCCGAAGAAGTCAATCAGACGCTAAATTCTAGCTCTGGCCGGTTGATATACTACGCAAAAGCTTGATTGAGATGAGGCAAGGTGAATCCTGTCTGTCACGTTGAATGCTGGAACGAACTGACAATACATTGATAATGACAACCGATAAATCCGGGCAGTCATCACTGTCGGGTGGGAAGTAGGCGAGATCGCCCGGAATAGGACAGGCTGTATGATCAAAGGGGTAAATTGTTGACACAAAAGAAGCAATACCGAAAGGATGAAGAAACGAAGAGAGGAAACAAGGAGACTGCCTACGTGTGGATTCGTGCCGGCGTAGATGAGCACTTCTTTGATACTGCTTCCCGCAAATAGCACAGGTATGACCTCCGGTTGAAGGAGCGGCCATGGCGGGTCCGGCTATCTACCGGCGGCGTAGTTCAAGAATCCCAGTAGAGATAGCGGGCTATTCGAATTGGGCTTAGGATTCTCAGTAATCAAGTCGCGTTGGTTGGCAGTGGGCTTGGATGAACGACCTGACAGAGAATGTGAAGATGGTGGGTTTAAGCCGATGAACGCGTTCGGAATGACGCGGGATGGCAGGACGGAGGACCCACAAATCCGCGACAAGGGGTTAAAGGGCAGTTTGGATCTCTGTGACCGGAGAAATCCCACCCCCGGGGTCTCGGCGAGCCCCTGTGGCACCGCCCTGAGGTCAGGTGGATTTACTATCCTGATTGGGACAGAACTTTCGCTCTCGCAGCCCCACAATCTTACCGTAGTGGATCCCTCAGCGAATCACAACATCCTTGGTCTTGGCATAAAATAAAGGGAAAGAGGCTACTCCCCCAGCTTCAGTCTCCATTTTGAGCTCTTCCTTCCTCAACTTCTCACCATCATCAACGTCAACTGCACCACCCGGAAACCCCCGTAACATGAATTTCCTCTTACAGCCATAGTGCCATAGCCATATGTATCAAGTGAATGAAGTTACTCCATCAAAAGCACCTTTTGCGCCAGGGACCTCTCTAAGCTACCACACCCTGCAGCCACTTTGCGGCTACCGCAGTGTAATGCATCAATGGGGGGCTTCCGTTATTCGAATCCCGTATAAAATGACCAATCTTCTTGATGTTTGACGCATTACTCTCGGCCTACGGTGGCCCTTTATAGTGCCCGGGACTGCGGTCTTTCTTGCAAATGGTTGAATTGACCTATCTGATACCCTTCTACCTTGCTCAGCTTTCCCTCTGCTCGATGATCGATTTTGACCGATCCTATTGAGTCGTATAACATGTCCAGCCTTTGTAAGTCCGCTCTCTATCTTCAATACGTTCTCGAACTCTCGGGGCCCTCAGTTGTCAACAGCCACCTCTCACGCACATGCATGGCCTTAACATCATGGCTCACCATCTCACCAGCTGTTCTGCGGTATCATCCGCTAAGAGTGGCCACTCGAACACAAGTTTATGCCCTTCATCTTTCATCTACATCATCTGCACCTAGACCTCAACATCATCGCCATCATCGCCATGCGAGATCACAGTCTACGAAGACTAGCATCGTGCCACAAAACACTCTCCCGTTTGACAGCCAAATCATCAAACCTCCATCCAACGCCGTCGAACATGTGTTGTAAGTCCAACAGAATATCATATCTCAACACTCCAATCACTGGCTAACAGCAAGAACAGAACTACCTTGGATAGCATCGTCAACTGGGCCCGCCAGGGTTCCTTCTGGCCCTTGACCTTTGGTCTAGCCTGCTGCGGGATAGAGATGATGCATGTGTCCATGCCCCGCTACGACCAAGATCGTCTCGGCATCATCTTCCGCGCTTCGCCTCGACAAGCTGATGTTATGATCGTTGCTGGCACGGTCACGAACAAGATGGCTCCTGCTGTTCGGCAATGCTACGACCAGATGCCCGACCCGAAATGGGTCATCAGCATGGGCAGCTGTGCGAATGGAGGTGGCTACTACCACTACAGCTACTCAGTCGTCAGGGGAGTGGATCGGATTATACCCGTCGACATCTACGTGCCTGGATGCCCACCCACTGCAGAGGCCCTACTACATGGCGTATTCCTCTTACAGGCAAAACAGAGAAGGACGAAGATCACAAGAATGTGGTACCGGAAGTAGGCTTGTGGGCAATTTCTTGTTCTTTACCAAGTCCTACGTGTATATCATCCCTGTTTCTCTCTCAATCGCAACCTCCCTGTCTCTCATGCCAGTAATCGTGCTAACTTGCTGGATCTGTCCTTTATTTGTCTTGCTTTGCAGAATCCAGAACGCATCTGATGGCAGTTTACAATGGCTAAGTTCACTTACTTCTTATGATTCTCAAGACTGCCAACTTCATACCTTGTGCTTTGGCTGCATAACATGGAACTGAGTGACGGGCACGGAATTGGCTCATCAATCATGGGGAAAGCACCTCGATGAGGCTGAAGCTAACCCAAAATGATCCATTGGAGCTTAGCTTGCAACAGGGCCTGAAGGCAGAGTGATCACCGGCCTTTAGAATACCCGATCTGCTGTCAGCTTACTTGCGCTCCAGACGCCAAGGCGCTTCGCAAGTAATCCCCCACACTATGCCCTGAACCAGTTGCCCGACCTTGTACATGTGGACTCTCGTCAGCACAAACCATATCCAGCTGCCTCATTCAGGTAAAGCTAGCATTCATAGAGGCCTCAAGCCATGCTGATTTGACTGTGCCGCTGCATTGCTTCTGGCACTGACTTCTGGTTCGTGAGGCAAGAATTCATGCAAAGAACAAGGCCCGTATCAGAAGATTTATTTAAATCTATCCACACCGCGTTGGTGGATACTCACTTTGCTAAATACCTCCAACTGCTTGACTGTGTTACCGATCGCCAACATGAGGCTTTACATTCCCAGAGCCCCAACGCTCTCGCTCTGCGCCTCACTTGCGCATACGGTCCTTGGAGAACCGCTCCCTAACCCTACAGGCGAGTACAACGTCGGTGCCCAGCGTTTCGTCGTCCCATTCTTGGAACAAAATGATGTCGTGTGGCCGGATGGTGTTTCGACTGAGTACCTCGTCACGCTGTACTATCCTACAGAAGACGACAAGCCTTGCCCAAAGCCGTACCTCGAGCCCGAGCTTGTCAAACTCTACACCGATTTGTGGAACTACAACATCTCTCACCTGACGTCGACGCTAAGATGGAATGCGACTTATCTGAATGAAGCAAGCGGCCCAACGCTTCTTTTCGGACCTGGCGGTTGGGGTGTACCGACCGATGGTGACTACATCATCATCTCTGATCTAGTCTCACATGGTAAGCTCGCTATCCCTCAACCTGTCGTTGCTGAAAACTCCAGACTGACTTTGCATCAAATGAAGGATACGTCGTTGCGGCATTTGATCACGTTTACGAGCAGCCTTTTGTGCGGTACCCCAACGGCACGGGTGTCTACGGACTGCCCCCCAATTTCAGCAACTACACCCTTGATTGGGTGGAGGGCTTGCATGCCGTCAGGGTCAGACAGCAGCTGCACTTCATCAACTACTTCCCCTCGCTCGTGTCAAAGCTTGAAGCTACCTTCAAGACCACAGATTTCGGCACCTTTGGAGTATCGTTAGGAGGCTCTGCAGCTCTCACCGTAGCTCTCGAGAGCGATGCGGTAGCCGCCGCTATCAACGTCGACGGTGCCAACTGGGGTCGATTGAACAGCACATCCGACTCGGATCTCAAGAAACCCTCGATGATTCTCGGCTTTCAGGGCCACAATGCGAACTCGGACCGCACCTGGAACAACTACCGAGCCTGGCAGACTGGCTGGTGGCGTCTGTTCTCGGTGGATGGAAGCTTGCATCCGGACTGGTCCGACCTGGGGTTCTGGAAGATTTTCGGCACGACACGTACACAGGGACCAATTGATGGAAGAAGAATGGTCCACATCTCAAGGACGTTCATCCGTGCCTTCTTTGACGATGTCTTGCGCCATGTCAACCAGCCTCTTTTGGATGGCCCTTCTGAAAACTTCCCTGAAGTGCATTGGGAGGAAATTCACAATGGAGAATGAATAAAATGACTTTCTGGACTGTTAAGATTGATATGTCATATATCCACTGAGGTTTTGCACAGAAAAAAATACCGATGGTCAGCAAATGCCATGATTATTTCTTCTACCGCTTGCCGCCATGAGCGCGAACGTTGTCATACATACATAGCCATTCAGCTTTGCTTCTGGGCACTATTTTCTCCTAAAAATACTTTGATGGCCAATGTTACATTCTCTCTGATAAATTGAATGAGTAATGCTCAAGGCCCATCGGGTTTCCTTTCTTTCCCCTACCAAGATCTTGTTGATGTAGAGACTATGGCACATTAGTAGTGTGAAATTGCTATACTTGTACTGAAATGCAGGGATAGAACCCCATCATACTTAATGCTACTTAGTTGATGTTGAAATGGTAACATTGTAATCCACCTTCTGGCCAATGGGCTCGTATCTCCATCTTCCCACGTACCCGTTGAAGGAGCCGTTCCTACCATTAGTCGTAGCAAAGACACCGAGCAACCCACCGGTGGTAGCTCCATCTCCAGCCAGCAATGCGTTATTAAAGACCCAGAGCGACTGCTCAGAACCTTCGTGATCTGCCGAGCTTACAAAGTACTCATTGTGAGTCTCATTCCGCGGAGAGATCCTGATCCGAACAGCTCGACCTAGCAGTTCTTGTGGAATTGGCACGATCTTTGGATCCGGAGCTGTTGAGTTGTTGATCGAACGAGCCCTGAGTTGGAAGTAAGGCTCGAGGTTGTCTCCTTTGTTAGACCCAGTGGCTTGGTAAATGATACCGAGATCGACATGCTGATTGGGATTGACATAATTTGAAACTCCGACTTCGTCACCGACAGACTTTCCAAAGCCTAACTCGATGTCAACGGTAAAGTTGAAAAAGGTGTGTTCCTGCCGTCGAAAGACAGACGTGACGCCTTCAGTGGTGACGTTGAAGTCAACATCTCTTGTGAGATTAGCGCGAGAGGCAGTCATCTGGAGAGTATCTTCGTGACCCTGGGGAGAGACAGTGAAGTATAAGGCATTGAAAGGAGCTCTCCAGTAGACCCAATGTGACGGAATGGTGGACCCCGACTTAAAATCTTCCACATCTGCTTCGCCAACAAGAGGGCCAACTCCTCGTTGAACAGGATACTTGTTGGGTAATGGCCCGCTCATGTTTCCGCGAACTTTATCTGCAATAGGCCAGCCTCCTACCGGCCAAGAGACTGGGAACAGAACGGTCTCTCTACCCATGGGATAATTGAAGCTATTGTAAAGCTCCGGTCCTCCGCGAGTAGACAAAGCAACACCCCACCAGTTTCCAACCGAGTCTTGAAAGAGATCAGCATGGCCAACGGTTTGAAGGTATTCCTTGGTGCCTCTGTTGGAAACAAGGGGGTTCTGAGGCGCCGCTTCCCAAGGTCCTTTGATGCTCTTAGATCGTGCAATAGTCGCCGAATGATTTAGTTGAGTGCCGCCTTCAGCAATCAGCAAGTAGTAGTATCCATCCTTTTTGTAGATGTGGGGGCCTTCGGCGTTTGCGCCACCAGTCCCATTCCAGAGGTCCCAAGGCTCGCTAGTATTGCCGGTAGTGAGATCAAGGTAAGTTGCTGTAATTGGTGTTCCGGAAGAAGCAACAATAACAGAGCCGTCATCGTCGAAGAAGATGTCTGGATCAATTGTGTCGCCTGGTGTTTCTGGCCAAATCGCGTCGGACCATGAGAGATCGTCAAATGGGTCCTTTGTAGTGAAGATGACAAACTTTGGTCCTCCGAGCTGGGCACTGACCCAGGTTGAGATCAAGTAGAACGTGCCATTGTTGTAGCGGAGAGTGCTCGCAAACATGCCAAGGTCTTCGCCTTGACTTCCGTTACGAATCAGAGGGAACTGGGACACCCGGTTGACTGCATTGCTTGCAAGCTTCCAGTTGATAAGATCTTTGCTGGCATAGACAGGATTCCCCGGAAATGTGATGAATGACGACGTCGTACAAAACAGAGTCTCATTCCACTCAGGGACAAAAGCACAACTAGGATCTGAGTGCCATCCCGGAATGATTGGATTGGTGTAAGACGTATTTGCCAGAGAGCCCAGGACACCCAACGGGCATGAAACGAAGGATATGAAACGCAGAAATTGCATATTCAAGGCTGAAGAAAGCTTTCTGTCCCTTTGATGGCTAATGATTCTATAGACATGCAGCTGCCGCCTGCTTTATCTACCAAACAATTCCACAACATCCCGGTCTGTGTTAAGAACTTGAGTAGCATCAACGTGTGGATACTCTCATTTGCCTGCCCCGCGTTCCCACTTCCCCGCCATATTCTGAGGCGGACTTCCCGAGACGCGGATATCCCGGTCCAGTCCCGAACATGCAGTTATGAAGAAAAGCATGGCGGGGCCGAACCGAGCCGAACAAGCACTCGTCGGCTGAAGTTATCATTTTGGAGGGTAAAGGAAAGACAGAATTGTACTGGAAAAGCCCGAAGAGAACTTCGGACTGGGTTCCAGTCTCAACAAACGCTGGAAGATTACAAAGCTGACTTAAAGCACCTTCCCTGAACGAAATTCGCCCATGCAACATTAGATATTATGAGTGCGAGTAAACTCTCTCCAGCTAACCCCTCACACGAACGTAGCCCCTCCCTCTAGTGTTGAAGAACTCGAAAGATTGACCCAACAAGGGAAGGGACCTGGCATAGCAGCTATTCTAGATTCAAGACCATGCATCGATCCCACATTTCAAGCATCGTTGCATTATCGGCACAACTCATCGCGAGTAGCACTGATATCATTCTGCATTTTATTGGTCGCTTGCTTTTATTCATGACATGCCGTAGAGGATTAATGTGGATATACATCTATCCATCAAGACGGGTTTCTGCTCAACAATCAACGTTATCCCACACTATCAATTACTATAAGCTTCTTCGTTGCCCTTGTTCTTTCAGTCTCAATATGGTTGCTTCAGTCGTTGTTATGACATTTCTGTTGACGGGAAAAAAAAGGGGGGGGGGCCTTTTTGTCGATTGTCTGTCTTCTCTTCCCGAGTCGGAAACTATCTCAATTGGCCATGGTAGCCAGTAAATATACTTGTCGCAAAATCGACGCCGTAAATTGCAGACAGCAATTGACGCCATGTTTACCCTACGACAATACTATTGCCGTCTATTGCGGAACTGGCTGACCCATCCTCCTGTGAATAAGGCGATGCTTCAAGCCAAGCTGTCTTCTGTAACCCAGGTGATGACGGGGAGGGAAGTGAGCAGGTTTGTCATGGGCCTGCGAAAACGACAACGAAGAATCGAGTCTGAACGGAATCTTCCGTCAGGTTGCCTGAGTCGGCGAGGCATAACGTGTCTCACCTTGGTGATGTGTTAGCCCACACCATCCCACCGGGAGTGATCTCCGCAGGACATCTACCGATAGGTAGGTACAGCCGGCATATGATCAACTTGGTCTGGGCTCAGTGAATTGGACGACCAGCTTGCCGGAATCCCGACCACGCGTCAAGCCGAAAGCGGTAGGGTGATCCGTGTGTAAGCCTCAAATTCTGCTCGCCTCGTCGCCTTTATTGTATTAGGCGTTGAACAGCCGCGGCAAGTCGGTGTGCCGATGCCCTGAGACTCAAATGCGTCCTTAATAAGCTCTTGCTAGTGCCGGGTCTGCCCTCAACCCAACCTTCCTTGGGCATGCGCTTGGGATAGCCCAGTACTGAAAATAAGGTCGATGGCCGTCAGCAAGGCTTCTACGAACGAGCTACCGGAGAGGACTCGATGGATCCCCAATGTAACTGGACTTCTCTTTGTGACGTGGGCATCGATTATGCGGTGTCTGTGATGCGTGATGGCGACAGCCGCTCAGACAGTGTTCACTAGCTACACCGTCCTAAGGGCAGCTCTTGGCGATGAACTTCTTGGCGATGCTTTTTGGACGACGAAGATCTTATTGCAAATCCTCTAAGAAAATCGCCTTCAGACGATGATCCATGATCGACGCAGGGGTTTCCCAGCGGTCCAATCCCCAAAATGACCGTCGGACATTATCCTCTATCAATCGATTGTTTTCCCACCAGGGTGTTTTGCGGAATAAGTCATGAGCTAACTTTAAGCCTCCAACGGTGCTAAAACAAAGATGAAAAAGAAGCTTAAGTATTCCGGCGCTAGTCAGGAGTTTCGAGCAAGTTGCCGCATGTCAAGAGAACTTAAACCTTCTTTTGTTCTACTTAGCGTGGGGAAGCGGTGGTACGGATAGAAAGCGGAGGCCGGCCCCGCTGCCAGCGCCTAACAAGGCTGGAAGGGCAAGCATCGTGGTTCTAGGCTGCCGTAATCTTGAAAAGCTTCCTCCTCTTCCAAGCAAGTGTATGGCCTCGAATTCATGCGCCTGTGGCTCTTGCACTCTTCATGAAGCAGAGCCAAATTTCTAGATGGTATAAACATGCACGAGCCTAGACCTACAGTGACACGGTGAGTGAAGCAGACAAGACAAGAGCCATATCTTTCTGCCATGGTCTTACACATTCGTAGAGTTTATACTAGTTAGAAAATCAGCCGATCGATGTGTGCACTCGAGACGCAAGCGTTGTCCTTAGCAGGGCGGCAGTGGTTCCAGCTTCATGCATCCTTCGTCTTGCGCGTATTCTGACTCTCTCAAAATTTCCCGAAGCGGTAGTTTGCCAGGCTTGTTTTTGAATACAATGAGAGATGTTATATGCTTCAGGCACGACTGTGGGATAGTCTTGACCCACCATATGTTCGGTTCAACGACCAGAACCTGGAACCTACCTGTACCGTCTCTCCATGCACTGGGTATGAGCGCCATGACCGTTCTTCCCATGTACTTTTCTCCTTCTGTATCCGCGTCTAATCTGCCTAGTTTCGCGCTAAAACGCTACTCGCAGACGAGTCCGATCTATCTTGGCATCTAATGTGGAATGTGACCCGAAAATTCAAAAGGGTGCAAAAGGTCTTGGCATCTAGGTTCAGCCCAAAACACTTGTGCGGCTAAACCTTCTTCGTTTCGACTCCACCCAAAAGCTTGTCACTTGTCAACAGTCGTTCGACTTCAGATGATTCGCGGGCGTAATTACCCTCGCGTGCGACACAAGAAAAGCTTCCTTTACCGCAGGGCGAAACTATCACGAAAGCACCGCAACTTAGCGCAGAATAACGTTGCCATTGTATAGTGTCTAGATCCGTCGACATCCCTCAGACGAAGCGTAGGTGCTGATGAATCGGGATGATGACTCGCAACAAGCTCTTCCATTGACCATTGGGTCCAAAATTGAGCGTATATAAGCTGCCCGAAAGTGCTCTCAGTACCAAATTTACTATCCATCATCTCATTCTCATCTCAGTCCATCGGGTCACAGTCTTGACGGCGTCGACCTTTAATACCTTATTCAAACCAATCATTAATATTACCAAACTGCCAAAATGCGCGTTCCTCAGCTCATCCTCTCTCTCTTCCTCCTCTTTACCTTCGTCGTTGCTCTGCCCGTGCCGGCACCGGTAGACGCCCTTGTCGAGCGGGCACAAAGCGCGTCTAAGAAGGGCAGCGCGGCGGGCAGAAAGAAGGAGGCCGCTGGCATCGACAAGAATATCAATATTCAAAAGCAGGAGCAAAAGGACGTCAAGAAGGTTCAAAAGGCCGAAGGCACAAAGGACTTCAAGAAGCAATCGGGCCAGCTCAATAAGGACATTGCCAAGGGACAGAAGCAACGCGAGAAGAACCAGAAGAACGCGGATCCCAAGAACAAGCCATTGAATGACGGTCTCAAGAAAGTATGTCAACTGTGGCTTCTCGTAATTTTTCTCGAGTGTCCTAGATCTAATTGTTCGCTTCTAGGTTCAAGGTGCACAGGCCAAGGAGGCGAAGCAGGCCAAGGGCCTGAAGGGCAATAATTCTAAGCAAGATAAGGCCACCCTTAATAAGCTCTCGGGCGAGTTTAAGGGCGGTGAGCAGCAGAACAAGAAGAACAAGCAGGCTGTAAGTGTGACTGACAACTCGTTGAAAAAGACGAAATGCTAACAAGAGGATATAGGCGCTCAATGGCGGCAAGGGTGGCAAGAAGGGCGGAAAGAGGGACGTGGAGGAGGCTGAGGAGATTGAGGTGATGGAGTAGGAAATACTCTGAAGGGCTTCACCCGATAAGACACGAGTCACGTTGGCCCAATGTCTATAGACAAGTTATAATCCACGAGCTATAATCTACGACGGGATGAGAATCCGAGAATGGACCAGAATGGACCAGAATGGAAGACAGCTGCTAGAGTCATGTGTGGATGGTATGGTACTGAGATCGATGTACAGAGAGGAGAATCTATCAGCTGTCGTAATCACTCCTTAGTACGACACATGTGCTGCAGTTGCAGCCGAGTCTCTCTGAAAACAGTATCGATATGTGCGAGACAGCCAAATCCTCAGCCTGCTCGGCAGCACTTGGTGTGAACAAGGGCAGGAAGTCTCCTTCCTTTAGTTTGGCAGAACTACATTTATAGAAAGAATTCAATACGGTAGGACTTCTACGGAGGATGGCAATACTTCCTTGTTTTGGCCGTGGCTTGAATATGCAGATCCAGTAACATACTTTTGAAAGTAAGGTTGATCTGCGATACGGATATGAGCTAGTCACACAGACCCGAGAAGATTTTGATGGTGTTGTTGAACAGCTAGAAGCTCGCATGATGGACCAAGAATGCCAGTACGTGTCGGCATATACTTAGACCGATAACTAAGGTAGATTCGCGGACCTTGAAGGTTAGAAGACCACCTACACAGGTCACTGATCTAATAGAAACGCCTATTTGACTCGAACCAAACTCAGATTCATACGGTTGGTCCGCATGACAAAGTTTTCCCGAAATACATGCTGTAGATGGGTAATGACAGGGTACATCTTCGAGAAATACCTCCTCTGACAATATTCACCAACTTTTCACCTCCAACACTTACTGCACTTCACAACATAACTAAGTTCCACGCGGCGATTCATGCATCTACGGGAAAGCAACTTCACAAAAAAGGCGATGGTGGGGATTGCCAAATTACCGCCGGAGGTTATCCAGCATATTTTTGATCAGCTTTCGACTGCGCCATCGTACTCGCACCTGTACTGGGTAGACGCCAGTTTCAAGAGCAAACTGTCGGACTTGGAGGCACTCAGTCGAACATGTCGAGCTTTTCGACAGCTGGTCGGGCGAAATCTATTCAGCTACGTCTGGCTGGTGAAACCCGGACACAACCACCTGATATCTCTCATTCGAGGTTGGGACTCCCGCCCAGATTATACACAACATGTGCGACGTGCGTGCATTCCTATTCACGCTCCAGAGCAATCTCCTCGGCAGCAAGAGATGAGATTGTCAGGAGACGAAGTCCCGTTCATCGAAGAGAAACTCAGTAAGATGGGGCTCGCAGTTTACCCCAAAGGATGGAATGGTGGCGGCCATGTCAACATACTTGCTATAATGGTTCCTCTCATGGCCAAATCGTTGAGGGAACTTGAGATTCAGTACATCTTGAGTGAAGATCACCGAGGCCATGGTGTTTCGAACAAACTTCTCCTGATGGAAAACGACGTCTTTCCAAATTTGGAAACCCTGCACATCAAATGCACACCTCGCGTGGGCCAGTTCCCGATGGAGCTTGTCAAAGCTATTTCAAAGAATGCCCCAAAATTAAGATCCCTCAAGATACAATGTTTCGACGGCGCATGGTTCGACGGATCGCAAACTTGGGAAAAGCTCACCAATATCTACATCTGGTCAAGTCTAAACGTGCAACCGTTCATCATGGAAATTATTTCGACGCCAAAGCATTTGAGTCATTTCGGACTTGACAGATGTGTGTCGAGTGTCAGTCAGATGGTGAATATGATCGACGCGTTGGCCGAACACAAAGGAACACTCAAAGCTCTAAGTGTCCGGTTCCCCGATCGATCAACTGGAGAAACAGCGAGTCTGCTTCTACACAAGCTCTGTAATCTTGAAATCTTCACGACGCAATTACAGGACGCCGGCACGCAGGACGAAAACATTCTACGACAGCTCCCAAAATCTCTACGAAAGCTGCGTATCGTACGAGCACGAGGCCACCACCATAACCATTTTGCACATCATTATTGGTTGGAGGAGCACCTTCGGAGACTCAAGAAGACGGGCAAACATTGTAGCTTGCAAGTGTTTGTTTGTGATACTTGGGAGGAAAGAGAGGGAGAAGAAAAACTCGACTTTGATGGACGAGATGAGGACTCCATCGAGAAAGGGTACTTGGCAGAGGCAGTCGACTGGCTGTACTTAATTCCTTGGTAGATTCGGATGAGAGGCTGTATTTCCCTTGAGTTCAGCTCAAGGGCTTTCCTTGATCCGGATATGAATGTCAGCGAGTTTACTTCAGTCTTTGAACCTGCTGTTTAGTTCTTGATCTACCAATCACCCCATAGGCGTTTATGGTTGAAGTTTAGGGCGATGGATACCTTTTGGATACACGATATAGCATTCTAGTTGAGTACTTTGCCAGGGCCTCACAGTCAAATTAAGATATCGATACATACATAGCTCGGCATTTCACCATACAGCCAGGCATATTGCCAGTACTTTATGTGCCTCCAGCTATACTCGACGTTTGCCTGATAGTGATATCATTGATCGAGACCTCGGAAATTTATGACTTTTATTTCATCATGTCTTCGAATTTCTGGACGAGATCCTGATCCAAGGTCAGTTCAATGTCCACATGGAGAACTATTTCTTGGCTTTCCCGAATGTACTTACGTTGAAATTGCAGGTGCTCATTGTCTCAAACACAGCCTTGTTGTTGTGCAGGCTCATGCTACTGACCCGGGGTGTTCGGATACCGAAAGCCACGCAGGCCATGAATCGGGCATCGTCTTTGGCTGTGCTATTGGCCAGAGCCTGCCTGCTCTCAAGTGCTGAGGTCTTCGGTTTACCACCTTTGGCCTTACTCGCCTCTTGTTGACATGCTTCTTTGCATACGGCCAACACCTTTCTCATGGCCTTTTCATCTAAAGGTTTGGGGGTAAATCCTGGTAGCCTGACTTTTTGGTGTGTTTCGCACCAAGTGCAGTGGCCACATTCCTTGACTGAAGAGTGAGTCGTATCGGCAAAGTAAGCTGCCAGCCCCCGAGTAAGGCAGCTTTCGTCTGTCAGCAAGTTGACCAGGTCTTGAACGCGCTCCAAATCCTGCTTCTCCTTCTTCACAATCTCCTTGTCTATGTTGTCGATGATTTCATCGATGTCGGCCTGCTTGCTTGGAAGTTTCTTGCTGACGCGAAAGACCTTTTGGACACCGGTCTTGCTGAGCTTGATGGTGCCAGACTCGGCCCACGAGTCTAATTTGCGGGTAATATCAGCGCGGCTTACTCCGTCGTTCCCAATAGGAACGTCAACATCGATATTTGTCCAGGTTTGCGCCTTTCTGGAGTGGGATAAGATGTACTTCGATGCTGGTGAGCCGTCGGTCTCAAGAGCACGATCCTGCAGCACCTGATATTTGTATTCAGAGTACTGAGGAGTGCTAGCCCGAAGAAGACCGAACTTCAGTTCTAGGTAGGCGTAGATGATAGAAAGTTGAGTCTCCTGTCCCCCATTAGCTGAGATGAATGCCGACACAAGTCAAGGAAAATAGACTCGACAAACCCTAATGTCTATCCGCCGCGATTGCGATGTCATAGCCACGGAGAAGGGGTCTTCGGGCTTCAGCTGGCAGTTCTCCTTGCTGCAGATCTCCTCAAACAATGCGCGTAGAGCCAGCATGGATGGCCGTTCGCCATGGATGAAGACGTTTCTGACAAAGAAATCTTTGTCCGAAAGATAGAGCATGCAAGTGCTTGGTTTGCCGTCTCTTCCTGCCCTCCCAATCTGTTGGCTATAGGCTTCAAGACTGCCTGGAAGATCGAAATGGATGATGGTCCGTACATTCTCCTTGTCGATACCCATGCCGAAGGCAATTGTGCCAACAATCTAATAGTAAATCCACATGTCAGAACTCCCTCCTACGAAGATGTCGGTGCAACTCACGATCATGTTTTGACTCTTGAGAAACGTATCTTGTATTCCGCCCCGTACGTCTGCGTTTAATCCTCCATGATATGCGCGAGCATTGAACCTCTTTTTAGACAGTTCGTTGGCTAGAGTTTCTGCAGCCTGTTTACATCGAGGTCAGCGAATTCCCGTTGGGAGGTTAGTAGAAGCCTACCGCGTGGGTCGTGACATATATGATGGATGGCCCGGGGTGTTTCTTCAAGAATTTAGTGCATATCTCGACTTGGTCATCATCTGCAGTGATAGGCTCGACCAATAGTCGGAGACTAGGAGATGTGAGCACGATGCTAACTAAAAGAGGTATTGTCATTGCCTGACTGACTTTGAGCGGTACATGCTTGTCACGAAAAGACCCTCGGGCGGGATGTCGAAAGTAGTTCGAATATCTTTGGCAACGGCTGCTGTCGCGGTCGCTGTGAGACAGATAACTCTGTCCACGTTGGCTTCCTTCGCAAAACGGGCGACTGAAAGCTATCGTCAGTCAAAGCAGAAACAGTGGCTGCATTAGAAACCGACTTTTGAGGTAGTCTGGGCGGAACGAGTGTCCCCACTGCAATTCTGTCAGATAATGGAATTCGTATCAAGTAGCGGATTTGTGACAATTTGAGACATACTTCTGAAATGCAATGCGCTTCATCAATCGCTAATAAGCGAATGCCACCACGGATCGACCTAAGGGACGCAAGAAAGCCCTCGTTGTTGAGCCGCTCTGGTGCGCAGTATAGGAGATCGAGTTTGCCACACGCCAGCTTGCTGTGAATATCGACGAACTCTTCGCGACTTTGCGTCGAATCTAGAACGGCTGCAGCGATGCCCCTGCGTCTCAGGGCATCAACTTGGTCCTTCATCAGTGCTATGAGGGGAGAAATGACGACCGTAACACCACTTTCTTCTGGGCTGCGCGATCCTGTTTCCTTGTCGAGCTCCTTTATAGCCACGGCGGGGACCTTTTCATATTAGACATGAGTGACTATTCTAAGCAGAGCCTCCATACCTGGTAGCACAGACTCTTGCCTCCGCCAGTAGGAAATACTACAACAGCGCTGTCGCCACTGATGATGCGATTGATTGCTGCTTCCTGCTCCAGACGAAAGCTTTCCAGGCCGAATCGTTCTCGTAAGACTCTGCGGGCCAGAACCGAGTGATCAGAGGAACCTCTCTGTCGTTTCGGTCCTGGTTCTTCACTTTGATCCGTACCCTCATTAGGTCGCTTGACTGCAGAGGGAGCAGCGTCCACTACGGCGAGGAGATCGGCTTCATCGGCCGAGTCGAAGCCAAAGTCGTCGTCCATGGTCGGCGACAATGGAGGCTTCGAAGGAATCGACAATTCGTACAATTAGAACAGACCGCGGAATCCCTTGGCGGAAGATGATTGAGGTCGGAATCGATGACGTCCCAATTGGGAAAGTACCTATGCGTGCTGGGCTTACCCAGCAATTACGACTGAAACGCGTCGACGCGTTCTCTGTAGGAGCTCGCATCGCGTGGGTCATGTGACTCCTGGGCCAAGACCCACTTATGTTCACTCACAATGGAATGAATCTTACCTCATGAATCTCATTTCACGACTCACTCAACGTGTCTCGCTGCACTCACCGAATTCGGTCAAATTTTCACATAAACAGCGAAGTTCAAACAAATATGAGTCTTTGACATTATTCGTTCTACAAAGACAAACAACTAAGCTGGAAGTCTCCGTTCCGAGGGCCTCCTGGGGCCCCCAATCCTTGCCAAGTGTAGGACACTGTGCGGTCAGTCACTCTCGCCTACGACTCACCATGGAGACAGTGAAGAAAATGGACTTTTGAACCAAGGCAGCGGACCAAGAGATGAAGACTTACCATTACGAAGGAGGACTCCTTCCCCTTTGCATTCCGTTACGCTTCGGCCGATGTTCCTTGGTACGTAGTGGATGAAATCGCGGTGGACCTTTCGGCTCGGGAAAGGCTGTCGCGGTACGAAGAGCCAAGCCGAACCGAGACTGTCTAGGGCGATAGCGGACCGAAAATTTCGAGTTGCGTGCAGCAACCCGGATGAAAGAACTTGACCAACTTTATGGTTTACTCTTCTCTTCATTAAAGATTAGGGTCTCGGGTGCATATTTCATTCTAATCTGAACCGACCACAACCAGAGATGTCCTGTCGGGTCGCCGCACTCCCTCTGTCGACAGGTTCATCCCACTTACATGGGTACGAGTTTTAGCCGAGAGTGGCCAGGTTCTGTCAAGCGCGACTCCGTGGCTGGCATCAACGTGTGAGAAGGATGAGCACATTGCCTGGACATTGGTCTTGCAAAGAAATGACCTGAATCTTGTAATCCTATCCATCATTATGAGGTACATTGTCTACTGAATCTGGTTATACCCTGTTGGCATTGTGGACCTCTCAATAAGGTAGCGAGGTACACGTAGAATCATGGATAATAGTAAGTGACCACCCGGTTCTAGGCTCTGGCCGCTCTGCTCTCCCTTTCCGACATATAAGCACGCCATCTCGGATTGAGGAGATAGACAGGCACTCCGAGTAGGAAGATGAAGCCAAAGATACCCGCCAACACACCAAAGGCAGTTTGATATCCCCATTTCTCAACCATTGGAGTCAACCCATACGTCACACCGAAAGAGACCACGTTCTTGGTTCCCACAACCACGACCAGTGCCGGCCCGGGATGTTTGGGCGCGGCTTCAGATGCGAAGCTGGTAGAAATGATAAGGACGGAGGTGAAGGAATACTGGAAGATGGTCCAGCCGATGTACGGACCCCACCATGTGTAGCCCCCTGATGCGGTGTAGCCATACAGCAATAGCATTCCCACTCCGACCACGGCGGGTAAAGCCAAGACGACCAGGTGGTGTTCCGGAATGTGGACGCCTCGATTCCGACGGGCGAGGTACATGACCAAGGGATTGCCGACGAATGTGCAGAACAACATGCCGAGAATGGCGCCAATGACGCCGCCAACGTTGATCAACCCAACATCCTCCGACTTCCATTGATAGTTCGTCACCAGAACAGTATTGTAGGTCAGTGACATGCCAACACCGCATCCAAGAGCAATGGAAGATGTCAACACCGCATAAATGATTCCTGGGGACGAGAATGATTCCGCCATGTGCTTCCAACTCAAGACTATTACTCGCATTGGTTGAGGATGCGGTGTCGACCAAGGTCTGATGCGCTGCAAATACGACTTTCTCTCAAGAGACTCGGCCGCCTGATTGGCGCCCGGAGCCGTGAGTCCAGACCGTTGCATCTCCTCGAGGTAGGCCTGAGCTTCGGAGTCCGGGATGACACGCGTGACACCAAACTCGTCCGTGATTACGACTTGTCCATCGAGCGACTCGGGCCGACGGGTGAACTGCGTCTCGAAGGCGAAAAAAAACGCAATGACCAGTCCAATGGCCACAGTGATGACGAAGACCCAGTAGTACCAACGCCATCCCAGGTCATGGTTCAAATATGACGAGGTTAAGTTGATAGTAGAGGATATCGCATTTTGTGCCATCCAGTAAAGACCAAAGATTTTGGAACGCTCGTGGAGAAAGGTAACTTCAGTGAGCATCAGCGGGAGAAGAGACTCTGAGGCACCCGTAGCCAAGCCCTGAACCACTCGGGCAGCAAGATGCCCGTTATAGCTGTTCTGCAAAGCGGCAGAAATTGTTGCTATCAGAAGTATGATCATGAATCCTAAGAATACTGGGCGTCGACCGTATGCTAGAGCAAGAGGAAGGATTATGTAGTTGCCTAATCATGATAACTTCGTTAGTTCACTATTCAACCTTTTACGGCATCTTCTTGAGTCAAGATGGATCTTACCAAGACCAATGCACAAGGTTGGAATAGTAATCAGAAGAACAATGTCTTCGGAAGAATAGCCTTGAGGGCCATACATCGCAAAGAATTCATGCAAAATTGCACCTAGACCACTGGCAATCGACAAACCCATACTAGAGAACCAGCAGCAGCAGAAGACAATGCCGTACTTCTCCCAAGGTCTGAAGCGGAGGGGATCGTTGGGATCCGAAGACGGAACTGGAATCTTGCGAACCTCTCCATCTCGGTTGATGAGAAGTGCGTTGCCTTCGACATGGCCATCGTGGTTGTCTTGCAAGCCCGGCTTGCTGAGGTCTTCGAGATGTTCGATTTGACTGTTTTGTTTCGCACCGCCACTGCTTCCGGGAGCCAGAGATGAAGGCATCTTGAAGGCTGATGGAGTACAAGGGCGTTGAAGATTGTTTAGGTGATCTGAGGTGTTGGTGAAGAAGAAGACACCTGCGGGTTACGACTGCGAGCAACCGTCGCAACTGCAGGGAAATTTGATGCACCCAATGTTGTCTTGATGGTGATGATTGGGGATGGAAGACATCATTAGTTGAATAGATCGCGGCTGACAGCCTTGTTATTTCAACATCTTGACCATCGTTGAGGATGTTGACCCGAATTGAAATCCGGGGTAGACATGGGCCACCCCGTTCCCCGGAGTGGGGGGTTGGGGTGCGAGGTAGTCTTAATTCCCCCCGCAATCTCTGTTCGGTTCGGCTGGGAAACAAAGCGCCATTCGGTTCGGGATCGCAAGCTTTTGAAGAAACCATGGCGCGATTAACTAGTACATAATCAACGTAGTTTCGTATTGTTTCTTGTCTATCTCTTGTTGAAAATCCACAGATCAGTCGACAATCTCGGACCACGAGCTCTTAGTCTCAACCTCTTCCATTGCGATGGTTGAGTGGCAGTATCCCACCGGGGGCGGGGCCGGAACAAGAAGCCCACAACACATACGGGGTACGGAGTCGCAGGGTTCGTACATGGTATTCCGGCCAAGTACGGCAGGCTTTTCTTTTTTTCTCTGTCTATGGCTGACTCCCAACATCTAACTATTTCCGCCTCGATGACTCGGCGCTGACTAGGACTCGATATCAGGGACATGCCATTGGTCCCCCACTCTGAATCCGGTAGGAAAGGGGTCCTCTGGATCCAAGACGACCTGCTTGTAGCTAGTGATCCATGCTCTGCCCTTGATGATTGGTACGACAGCATCAATATCTCCGACTTTGACAGTCCGAGAGATACGGCACTCGAAAGCCGTATCAATAACGCTAGTGTGCTTGAAGTATTCTCCAACCGCCAGCTGGCCCTTGGCATGCAGCAGAGCCATCCGCGCACTGGTGCCGGTGCCACAAGGGCTGCGATCAAAACGCCCGGGAGACACGACAACAGTATTCTTGGCAACCTTCCCAATGGTATCTTGGTGAAGCGGCTCTGTGAATTCGAGCACCGAGATGCCCTTGATTTCTGGGTTCTCTGGATGATGAGGCGTGTATGCAGCTTTCAATGCTGACTTGATCCTTTCGCCGAGCTCCACAAGCTTTGCGCCCTTGCTCGGCTCGATGGTCATCCCGACAGATGTTGCGTCCACGATAGCGTACCACATCCCGCCCCAGACAATGTCGGCGGAGACGGTCCCGATCCCCGGGACGTCGACCTGCAGATCGAACCGGTCCACGAAGGCGGGCACATTTTCAAAAGCCACGGATTTGCATTTACCACCTTGGCACTCCGCAGTCACGCCGACCAGACCAGCCGCCGTATCTAGAGAGAATTTGGTGATTGGTTCCTGCATGGGGATCATCCCTGTCTGTAAGAGTACCGTCGCCGTACAGATGGTGTTGGATCCGGACATTGGCGCATATTCCTCACTTTCCATAATCAGGAATCCTGCAGCGGCTTCGGGGTTGCATGGCGGGAGGATCAAGTTCGTGTTTTTTGGTGATCTTCCTCTTGGTTCATTCAATAGTAGCTGACGCAGCTCGTCTTTGTGCGTCAAAAAGTGCTGTAGTTTGTGCCACATGCTCGGGGCCGGCACATCTAGAACACCGCCGGTGATTACATCGCCAACTTCACCCTCCGCGTGGCATCCAACCACGTTAATGACACGACTGGCGCTCATCCTTCTGTGTCGGACAAGGTTGAAGAGGTTGTTGGCTAGATTGGTACTTCAGGTGATGCAGGGCTAACGTGGAGCTTGCGCTTGAGGTGATATTGGATGACCAAGGAATGATGAGTTGAGACGAGCAACAGAGGAACGAGGTTTCTGGCCATATCAGATAAACATCGTTTGTGCTTGATGCTATTTAACAAAATGGCAATGGAGCTCTTGTCGCCTCCAATGCCCCGCGTTCTCGTAATACCCCGCAGAGCATCGCGGAGACTTGCCCAGGTTATTCAATGTTTGCTCCAGAGATGCTTGCTTGATTTTAACTTTAAAATTAAGAAAACCTACCAATCATTGAAAGAAGGAAGAAGCGAAATGGCTAGGTATCAGTAATAGATACACGAGTTATCAACCCGAAACCAAGTGAAATTGATTTTGGATTGACGTCCGGCTCTCAAGCTCGTCCACGCGACCGAGGAATTGCTGCCTGCCCCTTTACTTTCGTAGAGAAATCGAGACGATGTAGATTGGAAAAGAATCAGTCAGTCATTTTTTACCTCTGCCATTTCAATAAGACTTAGAAATCAAGGCAATCATCTCAATGGCATACTTCCCATGTCCATGCCCAAGGCCTTGAGGGAAACATCTCGAACCCACTAAGCGGTGTCATTTGATTGCCGCCATTGGCGGCCCACTCTCGCGCGGTGCCAAGAGAGCCAGTCGCTGACAATCGCATAGCTCACAACCGCCAAGGCAAGCACGTTCGTGGCCACGCTTTGAGAATGGCTTGCAGGCAAACCAGCTTCGAAGGAATTCCTCATCTTCCATTAATAGGCGTTATCGAGGTGTGGAAGTTCCGGGACGGCTCCGGGGCGACCGGCGCCAGGCGCAGTTTACATGGCGCGCGGTTACTTATCATGTTGATCTTGCCATCGCCCCCTGAGTACCAGGCCTAACTTTTGATGCATTTCGACACTTGTTGTCTGAGGCTTATTTGATTCATATGTGGCGAATTGTTTTCTGATCATATCAAGAGCTCACTAGTGTTTAGTTCGATCGAGGTCAATTGGCCATATTCAAAGGTATCCGACCATCGCTTGGGTTGAGAGTGGGAGCAGCAAGCTGAGAACAGGGGTCTTTTTCTTCCCTCTACAACCCACTCCCACCATAGGAACCGATGCAGCAGGTCTGCGGATTGCTTCTGCCTAACTAACCCGCCGGCGGGCTGACTCTAGGGCGAAGAAAGACAATGATATCATCCTTGAGACATGAGCAGGCGCCTGTGATGCTCAGTGATTTGTCGGTTTGCGATACCATAAGCCCCCACATATCTATCATCCCTCCCGCATTGGCTACAACGTTGAGTCCTCTAGGGCTGAGGGGATGTTGATCGGCGGCTGTACCTGTTGCCCCCAAGGCGAAGCACAGCATGGCAGTCTTTACCCAAATAGGAAGATACTCTGGCCAAGACCTCTTGCCAAGCGAATCGTCTTACTTGGTGTTGTACACTGGGGCTCAAGCAAGGCAACCCGCGCACCCGGAGCATAGGATACTTAAGATATCCAAGCCTATGCGGACCTGGCCTGGGTTGAGAGCCCCCTCCACAATCAAACCCTCGAACCCTTCGTCCCATCGACTTCTTCTTACTCAATCTGGTAACGCTGGTGCATATTAAGCTGTCACTCGGTTAGGGCTGAACTGCACCTTTTCGGCCCTGATCCACGCTTTGCAACACAATGTCACCAGCGCCTCAACCATCATTATCCCCGGAGATCCCAGAGAAACGACGATGCTGGGAGTGTCAACGCCGTCGCCTTGTCTGCGACTCTGTCAAGCCAGTCTGTAACAAGTGTCGTGCTTCCGGCATCGTCTGCCCTGGCTACGACGACAGAAAGCCACTGACTTGGCTCGCACCTGGAAAAATCACTTGTCGTACTCGACGCAAAGGGCGCTTGGTAGACAAAGACACAGCTGCGAAGAGAATGAAGACAAAGCCAAAGCCGAATCGCCCAGGGGCAATCGAAGACACCGAAGCATTGACTAGAAGCAAGAATAAATATGGCGGAGAGCTCATCTTTCACTCAACTCTAAGGACTGACATTTGCGACGTCTTCGAAGCCGTCCAGTATTGTAAGATGCAAACCACAAAACTAGACAAAAGATCTAGCTGGTACCCAAAACTATCAGAATGCTCTAACAGAAACTTTTTAGTCAACGACGTTTTCTATCCATACACTAAGTCGGGGCACTCACCAACGAGCAACGTGTTCATCGCTGAAATTCCCCTTAAGGTCGTCAAATATTTGCCGATCTCGATTGCGCACAACTTGGTTGGCATCGTATACCATCATCGTATGCATGTACAAAAAGAATGGAAGAATGATTGCCCTTCTATATTATATGCCCAACACCGGATGCACCATCATCGGGGTTTGTCGATACGGGCGATTAACGAAGACCTCGCCAACCCGAAGACCCAGAGCAGCGATGTTGTACTGACGGGGGTCATTCTTCTTCTCCAGTCCGAGGTCAGTCGAAGTGGCCAGTGAGGCTTCTTGTCTACAATGATTGCTGACCCAACACCAATAGATCAACGCATGCATAACGCCCCAGTGGCGACAGCATGTAGATGGTCTCCTGGCTATCCTCGCATGTCGGGGCGGAGCCCGGGGGTGGGCCATGTCGGAGCCATATCGCCAAGGCTTGCTCCTATCTTTTATAATGTAGGTCTAAATATCATGGGTAAATTAAAGTCTTGATGCTGACTTCGACAATGACGTAGTGTGATGACTTCGGCGAATACGACGAGTCCACCTGACGATCAAGTTACAATTTGTGATCATGAAGAGTTTATTGAATTGATCCAGGAGTTGTATCCACTTGGATTGCATCCACACATCCCTTGTCCGATGCCTCTATTTTTGGAAATTTCGCGGATTAACCATCTTCGAGCTAAGGTCTCCAAGAAGTTGATGGGAAAGTCAACAGCGAACGCAGTTGCGGAGGATATTGTTGCGAGGATCGAGAGCTTTGATGGAACAGACTGTGACTCCTTCTACGAAGACAGGGATGACCGTGATCTCATAGCTGCGATATTTCACTCTGCAGTGGCTGTCTTCTGCATCTCATCGCTGCAGAGCGTTGGAACCCTACCCAGGTCCCATCGCCTGACAATGCTGAGAACCATGCATGGCAATCGCCTGTATTCTCTCATGGAGGAGACAAGAAATCACCCCCAACTCAAGAAATCCGTTCAATGGCCTTTGGTTGTCGCTGGCATCGAAGCCTCGGTTCGGGTAGATAAGCGTCGGCTTGTAGCAGAGCTTTACTTAGAGCAAGCCAAGGACATCGCCACGCCATTACCCCTTCACGCCAAGAATGTTATGCGCACCTTCTGGGACGGAGACGCTACAAATTGGGATGCATGTTTCGATCAGCCCTACGCGTTTGTTTCATAACATGAGGTGGGAACAAGGTTTGAGCTCGGAGGGACAGATAATTGGGAAAGAAACAATAAATCATTACTAGGCGATCTGGCGACCCTTGCTGAACTATATCAAAGGAGGAAATGGTACTCTGAGAGCACTTGTGTATGTATTTTAGATTGATTAAATGAGTGACAGGTAGTGCAGCTTAATTTTAAGGAAGGTAATAATGGCCTCTGGCCCGGAGCCCAACGATAAATCCATGACCACGTCTTCTCCTCCAAACGAATTCAAAGTCTTATTCGTGTATGTGTAAGTCGTCTTGCTTTCGGCCCCAAGAAACAATCGTGTGAAGTCCCAAGTTGAAGTCACCCTCTCTGTTTTAGTGCCCGAGACTAGACTTATCTAGAATGGGGTGAGGTTCTTGACAACCCATCATCAACAAGTTGACGCCTTCACGTTGACCTTGAGGTTGTCCATGGCCGTCAAGATCGTGATGGTGGTTCCTGTTATAGGACTTGCGGTTTCAAAGCTGACGCTCTTGAGACTTTTCTGATTGACAAGGCTGCACTTTGCCAAGCTTGATCCAAGAACATCGGGTTCATATGAGCAGAATTCAGTGATGGTGTTCCCATTCACGTCCACTCCCTTCACGGTGAGCTTGCAAGCCCTCTTCATATTCTCGAGGCCGGTGCGAACACACTGGAAGTCAAACGTCTCAAGCTCAAAGCTTTTTACCTTTGATCCATCGTAGTCTTTGGTGATCAATGGATTCTCCAGTGTCGAGGCTGTGGTGATGGTGCCGTACACCAGGAACTCGTTCTCGCGGAGGTTGGGATCAAGCGCCCCTCCGACGGACTTGACTCCGAGGCCCGAGTACTTCAGTTGTTTGTAAGGGGTAGGCGGGAATACAGGGTTCAAGATAGGAAGAGCACTCGAGCCAATGTCTTTGTACTGAAGTCTTGGTCAGTAATACAGTTCTTTACCAGGAGAGATTGACTTACGGTGAGTACGTAAGGGGTGACTTGCTCGCAGTTGTTCCCAGTAGGAGATGCCATGCTACCCCCCAAAAAGAGGATGACAGAGGCGACTTGAGCAAGAGAAGCCATGATGGACAGAGTGACGCAGTTGGGGTATCTGGTTCTGATAGCTGGGTCCTGGCTAGTGATGCAGACGATGATGTTGGCAGGAACAAGATGGTAGTGCAAGGATGTGCGAGAAGGTAGGTTCTTTATACTGATTCTCAAGTCCAAGGAGATCATATTCCAGAACTCAAACTTTTCAAGTCGTCAATATTAGTCAACTTGCCCGTATCAAACAAAGATATGGCCAAGCGAACAACAGGCACGACATCAGCCTTAGTATTATCGTATGCCGATCATCCGATGTGAAGGTTTTCAATGTTCAAAACGCCTGCAGTCACATATTGTGTCTTAGATTTATTGGTCACACAGGCAGTTGTTGCTGCATAATGAACCAGATCGTTAATTTTAAGGATAAATAGCCTTAACTAACTCCTTCTTGTCTCTTCACTTCCTTCAGTGTGGGCTACTACCATAAAACCATTTGACAATGTCATGGATCGTCGCTCTATGCATGGTTCTAGTTGAGATATCAGGTAGCCCATGAGGATGAATGTTCTTTTCCTGGTACTAGATTCAGTGATTGGAGCATGAGTGGCCAATGCAGGCGAAGTTACTCGTGACACATGCGATCTGAGACGTGCGGCAACGACTGGAACTAGCTGCCGGGTTACACTGTTTGGTACCACGGGTTAGCCTTCGAGGCCTAGAACACGTCTGGCTTCCTCATCGACGATCGATCTATAGAGTTGGGGAGGCCGCTGGCAGCGATTCCGGGTCATCAGCGTTTTACGATTACTCATGGAGTTTCGGTCCTAAGTCTGTATGACCTCTAGACTGAGACATCATCAAAACTCCTTCAGGTCTTCGGCGGACAAGATCTCGACTGTGGATGTACCATGTAGAGTGGTATAAAGCTGTGATGGAGGTAACGTACCTACACTACAGACCACTAAGAAGATTGACCCAAATCAGAGGCTTAGAATGGAATCGAAACGGTGATTGACATACAGATGATTGCCAGAAGGCCGATTCTTGGAAGAATGATTCATCTAGATAGTTTCGATGACTTTTCGAGGAAGAAACAAATAGCTAAGGAAAATAAACGCAACCGCCCAGGCTATCATGCAACGCTGAACCACCTCAACCCTCACACCGCAATACCATCCAGTGATACAAACCACTCTATATCACTCATACCGGAGTACATTGAGCGTAGTATGGGTTGGCCGTCTTGCAAGTAGCGCCAGGGACACAAGACGTCGGGCTCTCAGCCGGCCAGTTGATACCGCCACACTGTCCGTACAGAGACTGAGCTCCCGCAGGTACAGGACCCGGAGTACATTGCGCGTAGTACGGGTTGATGGTGGTGCAAGCCGCGTAGTCTGGACACCTGGTCGGACCAGCGTAGTTCATGCCACCGCACTGGCCGTACAGGTTCTGAGTCGGTTCTCCTGCGGGTGGTGCCGTCGTTGTCATGGTCTGGAACGTCGTGGGCAACGGTGTCTGAGACGTTGTTCTGGTGGCGCTGGTCGGGGAGTTGTTGCTGGTACTGGTTTTACTGCTTAAGCTAGAACTTGAGCTGGATGTCGAACTTGTGCGAGTCAGTGTTATTGTCGTCGTAGCAGCAGTAGTAGAGGTTTGGATCAGGGTGGTAGTATCTGAAGTAGAGTTGCCGAAGCTGATTGTGCTTGAAGACCTGCTAGTGATCACAACGACAGAACTTGAAGCTGGTACACTGGCGGAGGCGGTGATGACTGAGCTCGCGCGAATCGTTGTGCCGTAAGGGGTAGCACTGCCAGAGGCAGTGATCTGAATCCTCGATTGCGGGAGCATGGAAACACCACCGGAGATGATGGAACCACCAGGAATGACATAGTCGTTGAGGTTGTCCCGGTAGATGTTGTACAGGATACCGGGGTCGTTGGCGCCATAGAGAGCGGTTCCTAGTACGCCAGCAGGGTTATCCGTTCCGGAGCCGGTGATCTCCAAGTTGACGCACTGGGGATAACTTTGCGCTCCGTTCTGCTGACCGGCGCTGTGAAGGGCAATGATGTCGTGACGAAGAACGTAGTGGCCTGGAGCAACATTGGGCGGGATGCGGACGGACCAGGCGTTGCCGTTGTTAATCAACACGGTTGCCGCCCACTGGTTTGTCTGTTGAGGAGGGTTGATCAGACCGGCGCCGTCAATCTTGAAGAACTTGAGTGCTGTCTTGTCGATGGCGTTGCAAGGTCCATTGCAGTTTGCTAGGAAGTCCATAACGGGGCCCTTGTGACTGTCAGGCCATTCCGTCCATTGGAGCTGCACAGTATCGCCAGCAGCAACTGTGATTCGGCCCTTGCCAGACACTGCTTGTCTGTGGCAGATGATATTCGGAGCATTGTAAGCGTCGGGCGCGACAAAGCCATTGTCACGCTGATCTATCGTCCAGCCGGCTACGAGAGGAGGGTTGTTGGTGTATGGGTCCTGGACAGGGATGTAGTTGCGGTATGAGACGCCGTTGACGACGATGTTGGTGACGTGACCGTGAGCAGCGACCGAAGCAGCAGACGCCAAGAAGGCAAGAAGGCTTGACGTCTTAAGGTAACCCATTGTATAAAAAGAATGTGAGTCGGCGTTGAAGAACGTCCGAAAGAGGAAGGGATGAGCAATGAATGAAAAGAACGAGTGTGTGTAAACGAAATCAGAAAGAGTGATGATCCTTTCGTTCGGAGTCGACGCTTCGGGAAGCGTTTATCTTGATACTTTATACCTGATAACCCCGCTGGGCACTGAGTTTATTCGCGTGAGATCACCATGTGGGAGCTAGGGATAGGGTGAGTCAAACATTCCAAGCATCGGTGTTCCCTCACATGGTCTTATATTTCGCGAAAGGGAGTCTCGCCGTTGTCTCCCTGGCTAGCTGAAAGCTCAAGGCGCGCCATGAGTTCGCCACCGATTCTGGGCTTTTTGGGCGTGCCTCAATGTTGCCCTCTTCTGTCCCGATCCATGAGGCATGATAAACTCTCCAACATGATGCCGGAAGCAGGGGCAGCTTGAAGCCCATCACACGCCACGTGGATGAGACTAAGCGCCTTTCTATCAATTTTAAAAGACATGCTACTGGCATCAGAGAGGTGGATCGAAGTCCAGATCAACGTCTCGCCGCCAGTCGCAAACGTACTGCGGAACCGGCCCGCGGCTGAAGCAGGATCTCGAGATCCAATGTCTTCCCGGAATCACGTTGAGCCTCTGAATAATTGAGTGTTCGATTTGCGGGAGCTAGACGCAGAAAACTCTGCATTTAGGGATGCAAGGGAGAGTGTCTTGAAGGACCTTTTCCCCGGAGCACGTATTCTCAAGTGGAGGTTGGCGGGCCTTGAGAGGCAACCGAACCCAGGTTCTGAGTAGTGAGTAGTCAGATATTATGACCGATGAGTTCACAAGACGATTCTAACCTTCCAAATGTGCAGGTGATTGTGCATGTGCCTTCGAAAGAGTTCAGTCGAGACATATAGGGCAGCTAAATCTGTTCCATGAAGTCTGAAGACACAAGGAAACGATGCTTAACGACTAGCACCTTTCCCCGACAGTCTAGCCTCCTGTCAAGCTCGATAGCGTGAAGATATGTGACCATTTGTCTTAACATTGCTCATCGGCGGCGTGTGTGACCCAATCGCGGTTCCGCGGGCTTCTTCGGACTTTCTTACTCTATCGACTTGGCAGGGCGGCAAACCCAGACCATTCCCTCGCCGAGTAGATGGGAGGCTGATTCTGCCCACAGAATCATTGCAAGCTACTGGAGTCGAAGCCACACCTGAAGGTTGTCAGATCATGGTGGAGATGTCTTCCACCTCCATTCCATGCGAGAAACTGGAATAGAAATCAGGAATCGCTGCCTCGACATCGTGCCTCAAGTAGGACGATACGAGGACGTGGCTGACCCTGACCATGTGAGAATCACGTGAGAAAATGCACTGCAAATAGGTGACAATATGCTACAGAACGCCCCTTGAAATGACAAGACTTTGACCTGTCAGTCTGCGCCTACTGCTGATCTTATTGTCTCGTGGGCACACCACTCGGCCAGTTCAGATGTTGCGCATAGTGCAGGGCTCAGTGAGAGTGTCTCTCTGCGAGGCTCCCCTACCGAGGGCTGAACTGAGATACTGCCTGAATCACTCACCGGCCTTGCGATTGGGCCTATCTCAAACGAGAGAACAAGCAGGCTAAAAGGGGACAGACGGACTTGGCAAGATACTTGGGGTAGTTATGGACGTAAATGGTTTTTAATTGTTCAAAACAAGACATACCCGACGCCACAGACTTGGTGATTGTAAATCTCTCAGGAAACTCCTCTCCAAATTGGTGGTCAGATTGCTGAACAAGCGACGTTTTCGTCCAAGAATGGCCCAGCCATGCTTAGCGGGTGCTAACGTGAACGCCTCCTTAGAGTTGACAGCCGGGCAGAAAAACGCCCCCAACAAGGGACAGATAGCCTCCGAGAACGGACTCCAGCTTTCCAGTCCATGTTACTGTGCCGAGATGGGAGCTCTAAACTGACGGTGGCCGGGGTCTGGGATGCAGCGATGCCATGTGGGTAAACCGTGGTCTGAGGTCTCGGCCGAGCACTTCCTGTCAGATTGACACGCGGGAGCGATACGGACCAGAGAGGCAGTGGTACCATCGCTGTTGAAGCTGCCTTATTGTTGACAGGCATTGAAGGATACATCGTTGCCTATGTGGATGGAGACGGCGACGACTCGAATCCGAACAAGGGATGGGATGTGATACGATGTTGCCGATGGGCGTATTGGTGATGTTCGTATGTTTGTTTACCAAAGGAAAGACAGTGGCGGTAGGTCCTCCATATTGTCATCTCCATCTTACACCGTGGGCGCAAGCCCACGACCGGTGTCTCAGCCTTCGATGATGGCAATGTGGAAGAACATGAAGGGCATGAGAACGACCATGCAAGCATTGCGCATTGTAGAACGCGCGAAGCCCAACGCAACATGCTTGAGGATGATGCAGGTAAGGAGTATAGCGTTCAAGGCAGAGCTAACGCGGAAGATTGAAGTACGTGCCATGGTCTTGGTTTCAGGTGAATGGGGAAAACTTGAGTAGTTCGCAATACGTGAGAAAGCGAGCAAGAACGAGTTGAGAAGTGATGTGTGAGGTGAATGCATTACAACGGGACCGTTTACGAAAGGACAGGCCGCGCTGGTCCCTTTTTGAAGTTTTTGTCTCATCCATCGGACGTCGTCCCCCTTTTGGGCGCCTCCCATGTGAGAAGACCAGGCAAGCGGACCTCCTGTTGCAACAAACCACCACGATAATTCAGGTACGATGACATCCTGTCATCGGGCGAGAACCCATGATACCAGCCCTTGTCTGACTAGGGTCCATGTCTCCTCGGATCCTGAGGGAAAAGACTCGCATTGTGCACGAATGGCATGTAGACAGCTTTTGAGTAATCTGTGGCGCCTATCTTGCAGACGGGCACTCAAGCATCCGGTGCCTAAAAGCAGAGGAAGGCTTCGCGAATCCTACCTCAGTCGTAGGCGCGAAAATATACTGGAATTGACTTATCGGCGTTCCTGGAGGCTGGAGAGAGGAGAGATACCCAAAATCCTCAGAGGACCTGCCACGATGAGCCCCTTGGTGCTACTGACAGCTGCATTCTCCATGCAGGCACCCTGCACGACCTGGTGGTTGAATGGGTTGGCACCCTCCTCGAACCCAGTTTCTGGCGTCGTACGAAGAAAGTTCTAGCGAAATCCCACAGATACGGACGTATTTAAGTCTGACGGAGGGGGTAACACAACCTTGGGATTCGCACGTAAGTTGGGATAAATGGGAGAGTGTGACGGAAAGGACTAATTTTAACGCAGAATTTTCTATTAGGAGTAGTGGCTCGGTGGCCCCTGAGACTATGGAGTTTGGATTCCAGCAGGACGAAAAAAGGTACAGAGAGTACAGCGTTTCGATGGTTGGGTTTTCCTTTGCGTCGCTTTGGTCAAAATTTGAAAGGAGGATATCATACCGTATCTCATCATGGTCGTGGAGGAGAGAGTTGTTCAGAGTTTCGAAAATTTCCGTTCCCATAACGCCAAGAATCTCGCAGCCCAAGTACACCTCTAGTACAGCAAAATTACAGTTGGTTCTTTTGTTGTTCGCACTCGCACTTTGCAGTCGGCCGTTGGTTGGATGTGTTGTTGCATGTCGGCCGTTGGACGGCTCGCTTGAAAATCCCTCTTCTAGAATTCACCCTCGGCACTGTTCCCGATGACCCCGGCGGTCCAGAGTCCGACCAGGCCCCACCAGGAGACCTTCCAGCCGCGCCATAGGCCGTCGAGCCCCTGGCCCTTGCGGTAGACCGTTTCTGCAACCTTTGGCTTGCCGCCCCTGACTTTCTTCACTGGTGTGGGCGCGGTGGGGATCGCCCGGGTGCCTTCCTCGTTCATAATGTAGAGCATGGTTCCGAGAACGCCCTTATAAGGCCCAGCCGGGACAATAGTCTCGAGCTTCTGGTCCTTGCCTGACAGGGCCCGGACATGTGCGGGGGTGGAGAGGACGGCAACTTGGCCGCGCCGGAGGACGGTCTCGAGAGGAAGCTTGACAAACAAGGCTACAGAGGAAGCGCAGAATTTGGCAACTGAGAATGTGGTAGGAGAGACGCGGCTGTCGATAAGGAACCTAGTCCGCAGGACAAGTGGTGTCGACAGGGTGAGGATGGGATGGATGAGCGAATGGAAGATCGTTGGGATGGCGAGCGAAGAGGGGCAGACGTAAGATGGGAGAGCTCGCATTGTCGAAAGTGTTCTCCTCGATCCCTTTGAAATTGGTGTGACGAGAAGTCTATGCCCGGAGTTAGCACTGCCTTGGAACCCGAGTCAACACGAAACAGCCAGTGACATACCTTGTGCGCACCAGGTCCAGAGGCGCGAGAATGAGGCCCGTTGCAACGGCCGCAGCAACGGCAACGCACAGAGAGGCCCACGGATAGGGCGAGGCAATATCAATCAGCCGATCAATATCCTCCTTGACGCCGAGATCTGGCACGTTGAACAAGGCACTCAGAGCACTTCTGGACCAGTTTTCCAACAGCGAAGAGAGTACTGAGTAAAGGAACGTTGCATTGGATCCCTTCCACACACCCCAAGCTCCCTCCTTTTGCCAAAGTTGGCCAATAACCTCCATCAACGAGTCGGATCGACGGATTGTAATCTGGTGAGGCGGCACGGCCTGCTGCTTCGCTGCTGGTGTCTGTGGAGGTGTGGAGGAGGAGGGAGACTGGCGGATCCGATGGTCCCTGGAGTAGGACGGGGTCGGCGTACTCGGGACGTTGGAGGTGAAGTAGGCAGGCTCGTCGAGATCCGAGTCCGAATCGGCTTCGTCATATGCCGTATTGCCGTAGCCAGAACGCCGTCTCTCGGAGACAGGCGTGACCAGGGGCGTCGGTACTGCTGCCAAAGTCACGTCATCGTGACTCCGGACCTGCAAAACCGTCTTTGCAACCTCGAAAGGCTGGGCCATCAGGACGGAGGTGTACTTCCATAGCAGCTCATCGACGAGATCCTTGACAGTCTGAACGACTGAAGGAGACGGTTCACTGATGTAATCTTTGTAGTCGATGTCGGAAAAAATGTCGCGTGCTTTAGACGCGTACCGTTCGCTCGCTGCATTGGCTCCATGACGGGCAAAAGGATTCGGTGCGGATGAGGCAGATGTCGGATCAGGAGGTTCTCCTATAGTCGGCGGCTTGTAGTATGGTCTCAGGGGATTCACCCCTTCTCGATGAGTAGCCATAGTCTCGTTTGGCGTTTGTTTACGGCTCAAATCTTGTGATGCATGATTTCGGGAGCTTTCCACTTTTGCTACCAATTTTGCATGATGAAATGGAAATCACCTCGGAGATAAAGACTAGCGGGGCCAGCACACGACAGTAAACGCGCCTTCCCTGGTGCTCTCTGGTGCTCCTGCTGCTTGGTAACAGCTGAAAAGAACTCCGCTGATGAGCTGACCAATGGTATTCGCCCTTTTCAGGGCTCTGACGGCAGGAAAGACCCATAAAGTGGTAAGTACCTACGGATACTTACTACGTGCCTTAGGTACCTTCCGCCCGTTCCAATGGCAGTGGGCCAGGGTCTCCGGAGGCGGAACATTGCGAATCGCCGGCCGATAAGCCCGAGGGGTGGGGGCCTTATCGGAGCTCCTGCAGGCGTCCGGGCCTATAGAATTTTCGCTGAATCCAATGCATCTCCACCGTTCCCTTGCGCATTTATCGAAGCTTTCCAACAACTTTTTGTCATTGCTCGCGGGCACCCACCACCCACGAACCGAGCAAGCTGAACAACTCATCTGACTGCTGAACCGTGGTGTCGTTGTGTACAATTGCCTCATAACCCCTCATTTGTTACTAATTTCACTTCCACCGTGCTCCCGAACTCGACGGGCGCTTCGATTGATCCCCTTTACTCCGAGAAGAAACAGCAACCCCGGCTGTGAAGCCGAGAACGGAATTCGTACCCAGCAACCATGTCTTCAACCAGACTCAGCACAAGCCTCTGCAGGATGGCTGCCAGCGCATCCCGACAGGCCCGCCCAGTGCAATGGCAGACTCGAACCATTCACAGCCAGATCATGTCCAAGAGGCCGACACAGCTTCCCTCCAGACAGCTTCAGTGGCCTTCAGCGCGTGCTTTCTCGGCTTCGGCTACCCAGGCGCATGGCCACATTACCCCTCCGAAGGCCGGCGAAGAGTGAGACCGTCCACAACAGTCTACCGAGGCTTATACTGATGATATCCCATAGGCTATGGGTAACATTCGTCGACAAGGACGGAGACGAGTTCAAGATCGCTGTAAGCGAAGGGGATAACCTTCTTGACGTTGCGCAGGATAACGACTTGGAGATGGAGGGTATGCAACAGCACTTTTGGCGGCAACGCCAGGGCATGTAATATGCTAACCATACATCCTTAGGTGCTTGCGGAGGCTCTTGCGCCTGCTCAACGTGCCACGTCATCGTTGCCGAAGAGGAATACTACGAAAAGATGCCCGAGCCCGAAGATGACGAGAACGATATGCTCGACCTGGCCTTTGGTTTGACGGAGACGAGTCGATTGGGCTGCCAGATTACAATGACAAAGGAGCTGGACGGTCTCAAGATCAAGCTGCCTTCGATGACACGGAACCTTCAGGCCAGCGACTTCAAATAAACAAGCACACTCTTTCAGCATTGCGGCGTTGGAAGCGGCATACCACACAATTATTTAATCATCTGTACTATATTATACATACACCATGTCAGAAACGGAAAGGGCAAGAAGGTTTAGCGGGCAGAAAAAGCTGGGGAGGTGTTTTTCAATCAAGCGCGGCATCACGGATGGGATACATCGGCTCGGCTCGGCTTACGCTAGATATTGGCGGGTATCAAGGGACGGTGGGAGGGAATAACATCACTCCTCTAAGCTCATGACATTTACAAATGTGATGAACGATTCTGGTGAACGCAGGGGTAAATAAGGCCCTGTCTGTGCATAGGCATCCATTTGCCATTGGTATCCTTTTTGAATTAAGCCTCCTCCAATCCGCCCTTCTTCAGGCCTCCTCCTCCAGACGCAATCAGGTCCAGGAATCCCTTCTTACTCATCTCGTTGATCTTCTCCTCCCTCCGCACAACACCGACGACGCCATCCTTGCGTGCCTTCTTCTCCGCCTCAGCAGCCTTGACTTGCGCCGCTCTCACGGCGTTAAATAGCTTGACGACACCCCTTTGCGCGACCTTGCGCAGCCTCCGCTCCGTTTCAATCATCTCCCCCGTCGACGTCTCCTCCGTCTCCGGCGCCACAAGCACATTGCGCACGCGGCCCTTCTCCATTGCCTCCTTCTTCTGCGCCCTCATCTGCTTGCGCGCCTTAGACTCGAGTGCCTGGTCGACAGCCGCCTGGGCGGATTGGTGGGCCTCGGCACTGCGGGCGAGGACAGGGTCTGATCGTTTCGCGTTGGAGAGCTTGGTAGATAGAATTTTTGACATGGACGTTGAGAAGGCGGATGGGTCATTGCGTTTGGACTTGATGAAATTGGGGTTGCCGCCATCGTCGCTCTCGTCTTCTTCTGAGTCGGAATCCGAGTCGGTGCCTACGGGCGCGTCTCTGCTCTTCTTGGGCTTGGGGGCGGGTTTTGTCTTCTGTTTGGGTGCTGCGGGCTTGTCGTCGCCTGAGCTAGCTGAGTCGTCGTCCGAGGCAGCGCCGTCGTCGACAGCAGCGTTGTGAATATCATCGTCAGAATCGAGGAGGTTTACCGCATCGAATTCCTGTTCTTCGTTGTCGGAGGCGGGTTCGGCTTGCTTCTTTTCTTGTCGCTTTTGCTTCTTGGTTGGGGGCGCAAGGCGGCCATCATTTGTTCGCTTCTTCGTAGCTGTTCCGGCCATGGTTGTGGATTATGTGTTGCAGTCAATTGGTGTTGATGCAGTGTGGTGGTCCAGGTCCTCGACTTGGCTGGAAAAAGTTCCCCATGTTGTCTTGCAGGTCAAATTTTTGGGTTCGGCAGGTGGAGACATCCCCTTATCGTCGGTGTACGCTCTCCGATAAGGAGGCTCTCACCGAGACGCCGAGCAATCCTCACCGAAGATGGCTCCGCATGTTGCGCCGCAAGACCCACACGGCGGTCGAGCGCCGATATTCACCGCACAGTGCAGCAAATTCGTTGCGTTGATGCGGCGCTCACACGGAGGTGAAGGCGCCCTCCCCGTCGAAAGTGTTTAGAGAGTCTGCCTAGACGAATTCTCCAGCAGTCGACATTGCAAAAAGTTCAAGGTCGAAGCCGGCTGCTAGTCAGTATTATCCTGTAGACAGCAGCCGAAAAAAAGGCACAAACTTCTTGAACTCTCGAAGCGGCAATAAAGCTCACGCGACTCATTCTCTGGAGAACTGCCGACCAGATCATCTGAAAAGCAGCAGTAGTGACCTAGCTGCTCATCTACCTATGCTATGAATGAAGTGGAAGGGCAGGACCACATTCGCCCGGGCAATTAGTGCGGCATGTTGTCATTGTCGGCTTGACTTACCTGTTGTGCCTGCTTTGGGATTTTTCGTACAACTTATTCGTAAAGTCGGGGAGGTTCGAGCTTCTGACCTTACCATTTCGGGTCCCTGAAGCCGATAGAACACTGGGTAGACCAATAGCAAGATTGGATGACCCCATGTTTGTCTCGCCGGCAACGCATGCCATGGCCATCTGAAGCCAATGCCACATACTGATTTACGCCAAAGATTTTGAACAAAAAAGGACACCAATTTTAAACACAGTTTTGTCTACCTAGCTCGGACCCGCTCTTCCTTTGAATCTAGGTTCTTCCAAATTGTAGCATGTCTTGTAACGATGCTTCTGTACATCACAGCCAATCAAATGCCCCTCTACGGAGTCGGGGAGCTCTAGCACCCATTAGACAGAGCGGATCAGGGTCAGCCTTAGGTCTCGCTTCCGCTCAACTCAAACATCATGCTCGGCGACAATCCTGCTCTGCATCACGTAAAGGGATAGCTGTGCTGGCCGAATAGACCGCACTGACGCATCCCGCGCGCTTGCTGACTGGTCCTCCCATCGATCGCTGGTTATGTAAGGGCGTGACCGGTACGCAAGCCGTGATTCTCATAGCCATACACCCCCTGGTCTCATCTGTACATAGACGTTAAGCGATGGGAATTATTAGCCACTACCGTATCAAGGCCACAAGCCCTCGAAAAGGGTCCCGATCCTGAGATCTCATTACACTTACCTGCTGGAAGCTTTGATATTTCAAAGAGTTGCGTTGATGATGGCTCTCTTGAACACAGAATGAGTCAGGAAGCAGTAAGCCTCGCCGATACAATTCAAATTTTAAAAGCTGTGGCTTCTTTTGAATCTGGGCAGGATACAATTGACGTCTACCCCTGATTGGCATGCTCTGTATGCTGTCTCAGTCAGCCCCGAGGCAAAGCCACCTGTGATGACCTCCTCAGCCCTAACATTTTCAGCCATGAGACAGGTGTTTTACTCGTGACCATCTCGAATTTGGCTTGGTCCAAGGCCGCCTCGGATCATCGTATGGGAAAGAACAACGTACAGTCTTTCTTGCAAGGTGGTGTTTGGCCCAGAGGGTCGACTTTCGTCATCGATAACCATGCTAGAGCCAAGCCTTACAGAAGTCAGCTCGAGACGCCTGGGTTCTACGTATCGAACGGACTATCCTGAACTGAAATATGTAAACGCCTAGTAGCTTCAAGTCTGTGAATAATCCTGAGTATGGATCTTGTTCTAAGAAAGGAAGACACCTCTTCGATCCTCTGTGTTCCAGACGCTCAGGTAGTATGTTGATCACATCAGGCAGCGCACCTCAGTCTCTATACTTACTTTGATTTGCCTCTTGCGGAATGAATTGAGATAGTACCCATGATTCACTCAAACCGCGAGAGGCTATGAAATACGACGGCAAGCCTCTACAGTCTACAGTCGGCATGACTTGCCGTGAGGGCACGACAGAGTTCTCCTACTTGGAAACCAGCTTCGAATTCGACCAAGATTGGTGGGGCATTGCGTAAATTTTTGGAACTGTGGCATCAATTGTCTGAGACTACGGAACTGCAGCCGAAGGAGTCTACATGTACACACCCTAAAAGGTAAGTCTTCTACTCTGGGTAGCTTCCGCCTAGAGCAAAGAGGAACCCCTGTTTGTCCGCCCCAAAACACGTGCCGGAAGCGGACACTAGGAGTGATAATGCCGCTAAAGGTAGAGCGGACCATTGTAGATCTCGGAATCATGGATCACCCAGCCCAACCTGGAAAGTGATATTACGGTGGCTTTAGGTCTCCCACAGGACCAGATCATAGATGGCCAGACCCCCAACGGTCGTAGTGATTCCTGCAACTGACCTGATCAAAGGTCTCTCATAGCCTGCCTGTCATTTGATATTTGCTGATTGGGTTCCCCCAGCTTGCTTTACTTCCTTCGTCGTTCTTCATGGACATACTCGACTTTAAAATACCACTGGAGACCATACCGTCGCGAAAACTTTCGTTAATTCTAATTTGGTCCAAGGCCCTGTCCAATAAGTCAAGAGATGGGCCAATAAGTCAAGAGATGGGTAGATATTTTGACTTTATCCATCGGTAGGTGGGTGGCTAGCCTTTATTCTTTCTATCCGCCATCTAACTTTAAGCTTTCGGGCTTTACATGAGTACAGATCAGACCTTCGGACTCACCACGTTACCGTCTAAACCATCTCAAAACGCAATCACTCCAAGAACAACTGTCGCTTCGACCTTCCGCAGACGCAAGCCCCGAACTCTCCCAGCTCTATCTACACCTTGACGTTTTCCTCCGAAACCGATCCCATGTTTCGATGAGCCTTCATCTGCTTCTGAAGCTCCCTGGCACGTTTTACACCAAACCCGTGGTTGAACACCTCGCGAATATTCTCCAGCGTCATGTTCTTGACCTCGGGGTAGCAGAAATAAATCGAGACCCACCCGAGCACGCAGATGGCCGCATAAAATCCAAACGCACCAGATGGTGTGGTGTTTTCCATCTGTGTCAAGAAGGTGGAGGCGACGATAATGTTGGAGCCCCAGCAGCTCATCGTCAGCATCATGGTGCCCATGGCGCGCACCTCCATTGGGAAGAATTCGCTGCTCAGCCAAGCTGTGTTGCCGATACCCGAGGAGTAGAATGCGACAAAGAATACCATGCTCACAAGAACGATGATGGCCGGCGGTCCAATCGTAGCCCTCTCTCCAAGGGATAGATCATGATTGATAGGGATCCATTTGAACGCGACTGCGGCCACGACCAGGAACAGACCCATGAATTGTACCGTGCAGAGTAGAATCCTGCGACGACCGACGCGGTCTACGAGTAACAGGTTGACAAGCGTAAAGATGAAGTTGGTGCCGGCGATGATAGTTCCAACTGCCACAGGGTTACTGAATCCAACGAGGGAGAAAATCTGGTTTGCTGTTAAGCCATACTCTTTTCAAGAAACAAGGGACTTGAACACTTAACCTACGGTTGGCGAGAAATACATGAGTGAGTTGAAGCCGGAAAGCTGGCTGATGGCCATGAGTCCACACGCCGCGATCAGGGCGCGGAGGTTCGCTGGGACAACATAGAGCTGCTTAAGCACCCACCATTGCGACTTTCCAGCGTTCATGTTCTTGGCCTCCTCGACGTGGATGGTGATATGACGGACTTTCATCCGGACTTGCTCGTCCGTTCCGTTTGGGAAAATCTTTCGAATAACCTTCTCGGCCTCTTGTTCCTTGCCGTGATAGATCAACTGCCTTGGCGATTCTGGGCAGAAGGGCAGCATGCACGCCAGGATGAGGGCTGGAATCGCGCCGCCGCCAACCATGTAACGCCACCCGCCTTGTACGTGCGCGAAGCCAGCACCGACGCCATAGCTGACTAGTTGGCCGCCCGTGATGCACATGTTGTCGAGACCAATCATACGACCGCGGTATTTGGCAGGGGATAGCTCGGCAATGTACCTATTTTTCATGTTAGCGAGGGTTCATTACCGTCGGGTCTCGCCCCATTTGATACTATTGTAACATACATCGGAATGATCATGGCCGCGGAGCCGACGCCAAACCCAACGACCAGACGACCAACGGTCATCAAAGCCAACGAGTTGGCGGCAGCTTGGATGATGGCGCCGGCAGTGAACAGGAAGCTGCCGACGTAGATGGCAATCTTGCGCCCGAAGCGGTCTGCCGTGGCTCCCGCAAAGATGGCACCGATGAAGGCGCCACCGGAGGTGATTGACGTGATGAGTTCCTTTTCAGACGAGGAGAGGGTGTGCCCGAGATCATTGTCGATGTAAACTAACACGGCTGATATGATGCCCGTATCGTAGCCGAAGAGCATGCCGCCGATGGCCGCGGTGATGGATACTAGCCACGAGAACTTGCCCGTTTGGGTCTGTTCGATAGAATCGAGCCCATCCAGGCTGGCTTGAATCTCAGAGGAGCCGTCAGCTACGGTTTCCTTGTGCTGGGCCAATTCTTTGAAGTCTTTGGTCTCCATGATAGCGGTTCGTTGCGTACAAGTAACCGAGTCTAGGTATGAGGTGTCTTTTGTTTGAATGAGATGGCAAAAAGAGACGATTGTGACTATGAGAGAAGAAGAAAGGTCCCAATTGGCTTGAGGGGCAGTGCTCCGTAGAATGCTGTGATAATCTGGGGAAGACCTGGGGTAAAGTGAAGACTTTATGTCAGCAGTCGGAGTGAAGAACTGAGGGCGTGTAGTGAAGCAATAGCATTGCCCCGAGCAAGGTGTTGGTTCATCAGTGGCGCCTTGCTAGACTTTGTCGAGGGCCCAATTAGCTGGTAAGAAAGTAGAAAGCTCTGCGCGAGCTATCTTCAATGATACCCTACTCTGCGCAGGTTGGCTGACCTCAAGGGGCATGGAAGGTCACGATGATGCGCGAACCAATCGCAGGATGGCAAAAACCGAGAAATACCTTGGTACTTCATCCGTGTCGGCAGAGGTGCCAAGCCAGGTCGAAGTCTAGACAAGCCCAGCGATTGAAGCCTCCCCCGGATTTTCCCCAGATTCATGTCATGAACAAGATAAGTCGTATCCCGCGGGACTCTTGTCCCAGCCCGGAATCCATCCGGAAGTTCAAACCAGCCTAGGGGTATGTGTAGAAACCTCTATCTCATCACCACGAGGGCGAGTTAGTCTAGTGCCGGTGCCGTACAGCGCTGGTGGAGTTCTTAGCGGTGTATGCAGGGCGCGTGCGGGGGAAAGTTGCCTATCCAGTTTCAAATAGGCAAGTCAGTCTTATTTCGCTCCCGTTTCCTATTTGACCTGCTTTCATCCATGTCCACTTCATCGTCTCCCATGTCTTCCGCCTACCGCCAAAACCCAACGACTTTTCCGCTTTGGCCGGGTTACCTAAATCCAATGTCAGTAGGCCATTCATGCAAGTTGCCAACCTGGACAGCAGTCGTTGTAGCAGTACTCGTCAGTCGCCGTCCTATGTTTCTCGTCCCCCAGGCGCCCCCGCCACCAACTCACCACTCTCACACAATATCATTTTGAGTCTTTCTCCCCCCCTATGAACCGTCAAATCAAGGCCCAGGAAATCTCTGCCCACCGGCCGGTTTTCTTGTATGCCACTGTCTCCGAGGAAACTGCACGTCTCAGCGCACATACTCGACGCTGGACGAATCCAGTACCCGGCGGGTCCAGAATATGAACCGAGTACAGACCCGGACGAATCCGTGTAACGTCAGTATTCTTTCCAATCCTGTCACTCCCCTTAACCCCATCGCATCCCCTCGTCTGTCTTAGGGCCGGCGAACATATCCATGTCTGCGCCGCGTAGGATCACGGTTCTTACCCGATGGAGCCATCTGCGGTTTAATATGCCGTCCGGAACAATTCTGTTGACACGCATGCTGTTGTAGATCTGCAGGTTAAGGTGAGTTTCGATTCCGCGAGTTGGATATTCCGGCGAGATGGACCTGACAAGGCCCGCGGCCCACGACTGTTCCCGCAAGCCTTCCAAACGCGGTCTTTCTCAGCTATCTTGAATGCTAATTCTAACAACTTGGTCGGTTCTGCACGCTAGGCACCTCAAATGTAAGCGACCCGATTATTCGTTTTGCGGCTCCTTAACCTCCCGCCGGTATCTGTACCATCCCACCGGGAATCTGTCCGTGGCTGAGGCACTTTGGCGCCGTATCTCAAACTCGGCGAATATTTCCTTGATTGCGGCCCATGCTTGTCACTGACCAAGACCACGTGCAGGTGATTCAAGTCGATCAGCATGTTCCAATTGTCGAAAATCTGGAGTCGAATGTACCCGTGGGTATAGTGTACGTTTTAGGCACACGCTGAACCCTAGGTTCGTGGATCCAAGTTCAGTAATCATACCTCAGCCGAGCCCCTTCAGCTGACTTGAATCCTGCTTCTGCGATTAGTGTCCAGCCAGAGAGAGGGACTGGGGCAGCCAGAAGCGAGTACAGCTTCTCGGAAAAGCAAACCTGGGTGCGAACAACGAACCGCTCTTTCAGCTTTGTCGACGAGACTGAAGATGTGGTCAACATCCATGCTGCTGTCACCGGGGAGCCCGGCGCCGACGACGGCAGCGCAAACACCTACCTAGAGACTTCACAGAGATATGAAAGTCCGCAGGACTACCTTGCTTTACTATCTGCTGCTTCGTCTCCCGTTCCAGAGTTGCTGTCTCACTCTCGAACCTCAGCAGGAAAATCGCAAGCCTCACATGACGGCCTCTACGGCCGAGACAGCATCAGGAAGCAACGAAGACAGTTGCGACCAAGACCAATTACGAGCTCTATGACACAAGATACCATACAGAATCCAGCCAAAGAATTCCATCATCACGACGACACGTCTGCATCGAGCGGTCATACTGGAGCCTCGATACAATGGGACCTACTTCACCTTGGAGAAGATCTGACACTCGACTTTCCAAACATCCAACACATCTTTGAAGCGATAGATCCCCGACTAGAAGACAAATCCACCGGCAACGATAAAACCTACGTCGAAACACCACTATGGCCCCTTCAAGACCGTCAGGAAGCCTTCCTCTACAGATACTTCGTCGACAACCTCGCACCTCTCTTCGACATGTGCGACAACGATAGACACTTTGCCAAGGTGGTGCCGAAGAGAGCAGTTTACTGCCCGACACTACTAAACGCGATGTTTTCGGCTTCCGCAAAACGTCTTAGTCGAACGATTGGCGTTGATGGGGTCATTGCCGACCGATACCATCAAATTTGCCTTCGCTCGTTGATCCCGGCGCTCTCGTCCTCTACAGCCGTCGTAGACGACAACCTCCTGGCCGCTGTCGTAATCCTGCGCTTTACGGAAGAAGTCGATATCGGTTCCATGACCCTCGAGTCCCATCTAATGGGTACTAGAATTCTGCTGGCCGCCCAGGAAAACGCCGCCGACTTTAGCGGTCTGCGGCTTTCCGCGTTCTGGCTTGCCCTGAGGCAAGAGATATACATGGCGTTCGTTCATACCCGCCCGGTCTATCATAGCTTCTTCTCTAGCATCAAGCGGATACAGGAACGCGGTAATAGCGATGAGAATGCCGTGGATTGCCATTATGCCAACAAGGCAGTAAGTATCTGTGCGATGTGTCTTAGCTACTGTTACGGCCAGGAAGACAACCATGTAAGGAGCTACGCGCAATTGAGAGAGGATCTTGATGTATGGTGGAAAGAGAAGCCATGGTACTTCGACGCCATGTGGGCAAATCCAGAACCTGGTTTTCTGCTGGAAGAGCAGTACATCACCGACGCTGCTGTCACTGGATTACAGCACTATCACCTGGCTCGGATGCTTTTGATTGCTCACAACCCCAAGGTTGCGAGGCTTGGTACGGCTTTCCGGGCAATGGAGGAAGAACTCAAACAGACCGTTCGTGTGATATGTGGCCTTGCAGTGGTAAGCTTGCGGTTCACCGACGCCATCGACTTAGGGAAATTATCCGCTGATTACCTGGTGCTCCGTAAACAGGCGAATGAGAGAACACCCCCAGCATACGTGTAAGTGCCACCAACCAACGAGCAAACACCCTCCTCAATCATCCAGTCTTCTGACCGATGCGATGCAACAGAAACGCATGCATAGCAATCACCATGGCGGGCGATCGTTTTACAGACCGGAAAGAACAAGAGGAGTTGTACAAGATTCTTGTCAAGACTGACAGGCGGTTGGGGTGGCCGACTCATGCAGCGTAAGTAGACCCTCGCGCCAGCCCTTTAGCCACTGCAAAACGACACTGACGGCAAACAGACAGTCGCAAATCAGAGAGGCCTGGGGCTGGGAAGACTCCCCATCACCCCCTGCGATGCCTATTGCGGCCATGTTGAATGCCCGCGCACAAGCTGGGACGGCGGATTGATCTGAGTCAACCAACGACTCGCAAAGCAAGTTCTAGCGTTCTGTATAAACCCGTTAATTAATAGCGACTCGCACTTACCGAACCCTTGCGACTATGTCACTTACTTGCGAAAGGGGCCGAGATTCAGTTTACTTGGCATTGACTATCAGATCACTACACTCTTTGCAAACCTTGCCCTATCTACGTCGTGTCTACATTGGTGACTACATGTTAACAACCGACTTGCCTGTCTCATCCTTCCTGCTTCAAGTTCCTGCGCCAAACTTTCAAAGGCATCGGACTCGGCATCAGGTTCATGGCCTCGCGCCTCTCCGGTTCCCACTCGGGGAAGGGCAAGGCGAAGTTATATCTGTGCAAAACACTTGCCAACAAAACCGTCTGCTCCAGATAGCTGATATTCCTCCCGATACATCCTCGTGCACCAGCACTGAAACTGACAAAGTACGGTTGCAGTTCCTTGCCCTTGTCTCCGAGCCAGCGCTCCGGGATGTAGGACTCGGGTTCCGGGAAAATATTGGGATCTCTGTGAACGATGTATGCCGAGATGGAAATCGTCGTACCTCCAGGGATGAAATCCCCGAGAACATACGCCCCCTCAGGCGGAGTTCGTCGCGGAAGACCAAAGGTGGTTGGCGGCACTATCCGGAGAGACTCGTCAAGACACGCTCTAAGGTACGGCAAGTGCTTGACCTTGTCGTACGGCGCAACCATCTCTTCAGGCTCCAGAACGGCATCAATTTCCTCGCGCAACTTTTCCATGCATCTGGGATTCTTCAACAGCCAGTACATGACGTTGTTCATGGCAATAGCTGTTGTGTCTGAGCCGGCATTCATCATGATGGACACCTCCGCGACAATCTCACCCCAGTCTAGCCCATTGGGCGTTCCGTTCTTATCTTCCATCAAAGCCTGGAAGAAATCTTCTAGCTTTTCACCAACCTGGTAGCGTTTCAGTCGTTGGGTTGCACGATGGTAGACGATGCCGTCCCAACCCTTGTTCAGGTTCCACCATCGACGAAAAGTTGGCGAAAGTAGAGACGTCAGGCGATGATTGAACTTGTACCAGTCACCAGCCCAAACGGTGATGGATTGGGCGACGGCGGTCGAGTGCAGACAGGCTCTGTAGTTCACCTCGTGGATGGACCCGTCCATGCGCTCGGCACGCACAAGATCGTGGCCCTGGTCTAGAAATCCCAGTTTCTCAGATAGGCCAATATCGGCAATAGCGTCGAGAGTGAAGTAGTTCGTCCACGCTCGGTAATCGAAAGCAAGATCGGCCGGGTCTGGGCGAAGACCCTCCTTCAGAGGTTGGGTGCAGGCCTTGTCGCAACCGACAATGAAGCGCTCAGTCTTGTCGGCCACTTTGTGTTCCCAGTTCTCGAGGTTCTTCAATGCGTATGCCGCCGACAGAACCTTGCGTTTCCGGGCGTGGTCTGCCTTATCGACGACATCGGCAAGGTGGAAGTGGGTTCCAGCCAATGTCTCGTAAAATTCGCCCTTGAGGCACTTGGTTCCGTGCCCATAGATGTCCTTGATTGCATCAACGGTGCCGTACGAAAGGGAGTTGGGCCCAGTCCTGAGCACCGGATGTTTCTTGTGCTTCTCATAGAGAGTCTTGGATCGGAAGCCGAGTGCAGCTTCGCGCATGAAAACCAGATTGGTCACGCCGGCTAAAGACTTGAAAGCTGGGAATCGACGAAGTCTTTTGGGGTCTCGGAAGTATTCGACCACGGGGTAGACGATGAAGTAGAATAAGAGGCTCAGCAAAGCTGCCGAGGGAAGTATAATTGCGTACATGACCGAGTGCTATATCGACTAGCTTGGAAGACTTGTTCGCAGAGGTCTGGTGTCAAGATCTTGATATTTCGATTTCCCCACGCTAGCTAGCACATCAGCACGACATTTCACTTGTAATAGCGAGCTTTGAAATAGTCATTCGGTCCGGTGCAATCAGCTGACTTCAAGATCAAACACAAACGCAACGGGATATGTATTCCGCGGAGTGCCAGCGTCGGAAACATCACAACAGTCATTCTCATGCTCTTCAGGCGCCTCTAGTATAGGCAGACAAAAGAAAAAGGACGACAAGTTGCCTATCTCGCCACCCAAGGTGTCCCTGTCAGACAAAATCGGCGTCTTCTGATGGGTCCAGATCAGGGGCCCACGGCAGACGGCAACGTTGAATATCTCTAGTCCCACGCACTCCCCGCATGCCAAGATCGAGTTAATCGGACCAAACTTTCCTATCCAAGACGTCCCGGATGGGAAGTTACCTGTTTGGAGAATACCCCACGTTCAGGCATGGCATTTGTTCAGGAAAGGAAACTTGTCAGCCGCAGTAGATCGCGCGACTTGCCTATTTGACTTCAGGTAGGCAAGTCATTTCCAGGCTAGGCAAGTCGGCAGTCATGCATCGCGCCGCGTATTTCCAAACTCGACGTCCCGCCCACATGGATAGTTACACAAGCGCCGGGAAGGTTTGGATGAAGGCCCTACGATAACTAACCTTGAAGACCTCGATTCTTGACTCCTAAGTACAGGTACTTGGTGGCGAGAGGTAGTCTGTTTTCACCCCTCGATGTCCAATCAGCCATTTGCAATCTAAGGGCTTTTTGCGTTTTGCTATCGGCTGGCTTGGAGACGTCAGCGGTAGACGATGAGTTCAATGAAATCGTTCACGAGCCTATAGTCACCCACCCGCCCCTAGCCTTCTTTCTTTCGCTATGGCAATAGCTCCAGCGGTATCCGTAAGCCGTAAATGAATTCTTTCCGAAAGAGCTCGTCATCCATTGAGGTGGCATTGGCCCAATCCTTGTCGTTTCATTGCACCTAAATAGCGGGATACCGACACCTCGAGTGCCTTTCTAAAACGGACCCTTTCCCTCAGTCCAGGTTGGATGTAGTCACAATTTCCGAAACAAGATCCTACTTTGGGACCTTTCGCCGACTTTCGTTGTTTTCTCTCACCGGCTTGACTACCGGCTAGCGATGGTCTGCATCCCAGATCTAAGATATGATCCCCAAATATCCCGCACTGAGTCATCCTCTCTTAAAATCGCCTTCATCTTTCTCATCATGAGGCCGAGCTTTTAGATATCTCCATCTTCATTCGTGGTACAAAGTTTGTTGGAAGTCATACTGACGAGACATCCAACTTCCTATAGGGGCGACTGTTCCAATTCAGCACATGAGCCTTATCCGCCGGATTATTATAGGTAATTATTTTAGTTATTGCCAATCCCCGAAACATTTTTACCCGGGAGTTCTACGAAATCTGCAAATCAAGACAACTGCAACTCCTCCACGACACTGACCTGACTTTGGTTTTCTCTTTCTACACTTATCCCAGCTTGAAGGTCGTGAGGATTTCATTGAGGACTCTCACTACTCCTCGGGAGTCGAGCATCTGAGCATTCGCCATTCTGTTTATATGTACCTTTCGAGACCCAAGGTGCTAAATGTTTTAAGTCACCAAGATCCAGTTCTTCGGGCTGCTCGTCCGGTTGGCTATTATCACCATCCCGACTTCGGTGATTTGCAGCTAATGCTTTGGGTTCGCTTTCATCCTTTACAGCGGCCAACACACCGGTCGATAGGTGTCCGATTCCCAGATCCACATGGCTAATATCCCGAAGAGAATGACCAGGCTCATCGTTATCGTTGTCAACGGAAATTAGTTCGTGCAACCGATCGCTCGGTCGCAAGACACTGTTCCCAATAGTCCTCATTCTCGGCCTAGCACCAAATATGGAGTTGACACCTTGAACTGTTCGTCTCCGTCGTAAGAATAGACGCCGGAAATAGTCTCTGAAGGCAGGCATGCAAGAACAGAAGATGAAGCCGTTTAATTCGACGAATGACCAGTTAGAGATTGGCACAATGTCCCCTGGTGAGTGTCAATACTCGCGTTTGCAATAAATCAACTAACTCACATGTCGGATTCGAAGTCTTCATGAAATCTCCGATAGAGCTGAGTCTCAAGATGGAGACAAAAGTGATCCTACAATGGAGATTAGCACTTATCAATCCCACATTTCCAGGTTTCGCAGGGCACAACTCACAACAATGCTACAGCGAACATCATACCGGCCCCAACTTTCTGTCTCCATCGCCAATTGAGCCTGACGATTTGAGAAATGGGCATCGCTACTACAATAACATCAAGTGCGATATTGATAGATGCATGGGCCCAAGTCTGAACATTAATATCGTGACAACGGCCCTGGTGTTCTCCATCCCACTTAGTCCAGGTGTAGCTGATGGGCCAGCACTGAACTGAAGTCGCAACTAGGAACGAGACGGCTGATATGACGCATGCCCATATGACACCCCAAGTCAAACGCCTAAACTTTTCATCGGTGAATAGGCGCAAGTAGAAGAACAGGAAGTTTGTCTTCGCAAACATGACGGTGAATGCATAAAAGTGCTCTCCGATGTAGAACAGCTTAGCGAGTCTGGTAAGCTTAGACTCTTCCCTTTTTGCTAACCTCACTGTCTGTCACTGCACTTACTTTGAAGAACTCGTTGATTTGTTCCGGTGTAAGTGTCCAAATATCTTTGCCAAGGCCATTTTGGACCGCTGTAACATAGGTTAGATTCCACCTCTGGCTTACTTCCTCGGTCTTTGGGTGGGGACTGCTTACTGAACACAACGACTACGCTCATAGGTACTGACATCAACTAGGTCAATGTTTTTTTAGTCTAGATGCAGATGAGACAACGTCTTTTCCGAAAAGAGAAACATACCATTGAGAAAATCAGGGCATAGTCATCCAGTCCAACAGTGTAATCCAGCCGTGAAAGTTGAGAGTACATGCGGACGCCAACACTGAACACAGCCACAATAGCCCCTGCTACGGCACTGGCAGTGGCCGAAATACCTCTATCTCGATTTGGGAGTCCACAAATGTCAAATATGATTCTTTGGCTCTCTATCTCTGTCAGCACACATCCTGCTAAAAGTGTCAAAGGCGGGGAGGAAAATACTTAGTCCATCGATGACAGAGCAGTTTTGGTAGCTGCAGCCGACTACTCCGTACAGTTGTTGCTCGGCGCAAAGAAATTTGACGGCGGCTTGTGCACTAGGCACTGATGCGAGTATTGTCGAGACACATTGATTCTAGAAGCAGCATAACATTAGCAGTCGCCTCAAGACTCGCGACTTTGGCGCGACTGTCGCGCTATGTTGGTTTGACGGTCAGGGAAGTTACCGCGCATTCCGGCAGAAGGCTGTCAATACCCAGGCCCTGGGGTATGGCACTCGACACTGGAGTTGAGTCCATCATTCGTCTCGGTAAGTCCGGCAAAACACAACTTCGACAAGACTGGGAATTGGGGACAAACCAAGCACATTGGTCGCAACGTCTTTCGACAAAGACGTTGATAGTTGCAGACATACGCAGGTGTGTAGCTGGGCCGATCCGTATTTGAAAGATCTTTTCTTCGAAGAAAACTTCCTCATGTTCGCTTTGAGATTCCACATGACGTTGCGTCTCTATTTACGGCGGTGCTTGAATCAGGGCTACCCCATTTCATTGTTGACATTTGGTCAATCTAAGCTCTATTGAGATTCAGAGTGCAACGGCTCTGTCAGGATCAGGCTCTTGCGCCAATCAATCATGTCCGATGTGCACTTATAGTTCAGCCGGTGCCATCTTAGCCGAGCGTCGGATCACTTTGAATTTCAGTAGTGGTCAAAGTTGGGACTAGCACGCCATAGCACAGGGGCCAGTGTGCTGTCGAATGCGTGCTTCAGGGGACAGACAGGCTTCTCCGCAAGGCAGAAAATGTGCCAGAACCAGAGAAATCAGACTTCAATGTTTCTACAAGCATCAATCAGACGAGTCTTGGCAACAAACCCAACGTCAACTTATATCGCCCCAATTTAGATGCAGCAAAACAGTCGTTGTTCTGCGTGATATTCCTTCGATCTAGAAATTGCACAAGTTGCGGGGCACATGGGCTGAACAACACTTTTCTTTTTTCCCCTCTGTAACTCTTCCACCTTAGCGACAACTTGATGGCAAGTTGGCAAGACGAGGAATTCTAGACTATCTAGATTGCAACGCGTGCGTAGCTAGAAGTAGTGCAGCAGCGAAGTATATTTCGTTTTGACTATGTTAGTACCGTCATACAATTGCTTCAGTAACATGTTCACGTTCTTGTCTACCCTTTTATGCCTGAAACACGTGGCTGACTCACTTTGAGCTACATTGTAGAGGACAGCGACAAAAGATACCATACATAACGTCACAACGGTTCGAATGATGACTTCGAGCAAGCTCTCTGACCGGCTACGCGGTAATGACTGAAGTTGATTTATAAAATCTAGCATGACGCTCTGGAGCTTGCAGCCTCAGAGCCAAGAATTTCCCTCCGTCGATCCCGGTACAACACGCCGACTAACTACATGTTTTGCAGCGGAAGAAGACATGTAGAGGTTTCCGAGATGTGTTGACAAATCATCGTGCTTTGATAGTTCCTCTCGTCTCTAAGCCTAAACACCAACAGGAGTCTGGCAAAGGACAGCCTGGCCGAGCTGTGGTAATAACTGTTAGAAGACGAGAAACACACATTTATCTTCGATTTGTACTACTCACGACGGGAAGAACACAGCAGCGGGCACGTTGACCACGATTGGCGCAGATGCTTCTGAAGTCGCTAGCCGAAGTCGGCACGGTCGTGGCTGTTGGCAGAGTTATTAGCATCGTTACCTTCACCTCCCTCTGATTTCGTTCTGACTTACGAGAAGCGCAGTCAAGATTAGCAACTCCCAGAACATCGGTGGCACAGCACTGAAGGCTGTCGTAAAGACCAGAGCAAGCATCATAGGGAGCAGAGCCGCCGCCAGTGTTGCCGGTTGGAATAGCGATGACGGCAGTGGCCAAGATCGAAACGAGAGCGGTAGTGAACTGCATTTTGAAAGCGATACGATGATTGAGTGAGAGTCTTGAGTGACCGAAGAAGAGCTGGAAGCTGCAGGCTGCTTTGAGTAGGAGGTAGAAGAGATGGTTGATTATAATGACTAGATGCTGATTGAGAAGCCTGGCAAATGCAGACTTTATATATCTGAGTCCAATTGTCGTCGTCGCTGCTCATTCGACTAAACAGATCAACTTAATGAATAGTCTTCTTGCATTTCCGCCTCCATGTTCACTGTTAGTGCAAAGTCCTGCGGCATAACTTCACCTCACCATTGACCTGACCATTTCACAGTCATCGTCGGACCAAAGGCACACGATGAGGTTCGTAAAGCTTTCGGCAATTCGGTAAGAAGAGCTCATCGCCAACGACCTGGGTATGCTTGGCAATATTGGCTTGGCTGTCCACTTTGAGTCCGAGAAACTGAGGTGTAAGTAAATCCACCTAACACGAGCTACATAAGGCGGGAGTGGCTACTCTCGTGCCGCTAAAAACGTGAGAAGTGATACGGGATCCTCCAAAATGCCCGAAAAAAGGAATGTCCAACTTCATGATGCCGTTCGGGGATGCAGTTCGTCTGAATCCGGGTGGAGTGAAGACGTTGGTCTGGCCCGGGATGATAATTAAATTCGCCTACAGCCGCTCCCGCCTGTCAAATGCAACATTCCCCGCCCTCAGCTCGACTAAGAGCGAATCAGGGGAAAAGTTGATTCTTAGCCCAGCCTTCGACTGGGTATAAATCAGAGTTGTGACGCTGCAAGTACAGGCATGCCTGCAGATGATCAGCGCTGTCTACTGCCTCGTACCTTGTTTCGTGAATCAGGAGTCTTTCCGCAGGCGAAGCACAGGTATAGTAGAGCAGGAGGTTAAGTAGGTATATGCGGCTAGGGTAACCATTTGTGCAACGGGTATGCTGCATAAGGCTGGGCCCATTGCTTTGAAGAATTTACTAGAAATATTGAGCATCTCTCAAGACGTTTTATCATTGCAATTAAACTTGCGCTCTGGGACTTTGCTGCTGCTGCTGTGAACCAATTGCACGTTGCGTAAGACTACTTTACGAACTGTTGCGATGAGCTCTGAATCTGGGTTCTCCTTGAATGCAACCACTCCCCTTCCATAAAAAAAGTGTCCAAGGCATAGTGCAAACGAATCCAACAGTTCAGAAATGTGTTGGCAATTACCCATCATAATACATCAATCATATCCGTTGAAAGAAGTCCTGCATGTTCGACATTGAAATTTGACGATCCACACTGGTTGTTCGTGCATGATGTGTCACACTACCATGCATGGGCTAGGCGTTCAGTCCTAGTAAATGGTGCTTTACATGGGTTGCGGACGAGGCGGATAGAGGCCTGCAGCAACCTAGAACCTAAACGCAACAAAATGTTCTCAATGCTACCTAATCATTGACCAAGACCCAAAACTGCAGAGCAAAGATTTTCCAGGTATCGTGCAAATGGACCATATGATGTAACATAGAGAAAGTCAAAGCGGAAAGCACTGCGATGTCTGCAGACCATGACCAGCTTGTCGTTCTCCGTCTGATCATTAATCGGCATGCTTTTAAGACATATTCCAAGAACTCGACAGGCAACTGAAAACTGTCGATCGTGGCCTAGACTTTCTGTTCCATAGTAATTTCCACCGCCTCATGCATCCGGTCTTGCATCCGGTCCTGCTCTTCGAATTTCCCCACAACTTGAAGAGTGGCAAAGTAGCTGAAGGGCAGGGCGATAAACCAAAGACCGCAGTTGATGCTTGCTGTAGCAATGAGGGGGGTTGGGACGGCTTGGGTCCCGAACCCCACTGCTACCGCTGCCGTCTCGATGCCACGAAGCAAAGAGCTATACCGAACCTGGTCACCAGGCGAGTCTGACAGGTTTCCGATTGCCCAGTAGATGAAGTTCTCAATCATGCCAAGAGACGCTCTTTCCAGCATATATAGCCCAAATCCGCGTCCGAACTCGCTCTGAAAGGCCCAGTCTAGGACAGGGAGCGTGAATCGATACTCATTTTGGATGATGACAGCCCATATCCAGGTTGCAGTGTTGAGACAGACAATCAGTGAATAAGTTGCTAGAGCTCGTGTCTGGCGATTCTTGGACCACGGGAGATCCACAAGTGATCCTCCGAGCCATGTTGAGAAAGTGCTTACAATAGCTGCAACAAAACCACCCAGCGCCCTCGAGCGCACGCTGAAGTATGTTGCAAGGTAAGTGCCGGGGTATGCTTGAATCCAGCCGAAGTACCAGAAGAGAGGCGTCAATAGAAGAATTGAACGACTTCTGAGGAGCTTCCACATCTCGATGAGCTCTGTTCGCCAATGGATCCCTCTCGGCGCTTCGATGCGACTTCCGTCATCCCGCATGACCTTGTCAGGGTTGGATAGGAGTAGACCCAAGAAGAAACCGAGACATTGTATGCCGATGAAGGCAAGGTACAGCTCGTATCCAACCTTGCCCTTCTGATTGACCTTGTGGTTAAGGGCCAGCGAGATGGCGCCACCAATAATCATGC